TAATTTATAAATGATAAACAATTGTTTATGGATCAGATTAGATATACCAGAGGAACATCCACTGGTGACAACATACCGTTATAAACTTTTTCATGTTATGTAATTTCTTAGGTTTATCATATTTTGTACTTGATGACACCAACAGCCTGAAAACTCAGAGGTACTGATCTACTTAAAATAAATAAATATTTCAGCTTAAAAGTAAACACTTTGCAGGGGAGTGAAAAGTAAACACTTTGCAGGGGAGTGCTACGCATTTACATTGGACCCTGATAAAACATCTTGGATGCTCTAACCAATAGTGTTTGGCTGCTATAAATAGTCCATCAAAATATAGTCACAGAAAAAATAAATAAAGCAACCAAAAATTGATTTTTAAGTTTTTAAGGTAAACATCATCAGTTACTGCATCTGGCACAGTAAACATCATCAGTTTCTGCAGCAGGCAGTTGCCAAGCATCATCATCAGCTCAGAACAATAAAGTAAACGTCCAAAATGAACAGTCACTTGCAAATAAATGCCAGCTAGAGTAATTTTAACTGGCATTATTAGATTTTAACTGGCATTTTGCCAGTATGCCAGCTTAAATTCTAACCCTGTTAATGTGTATAAAAAGGCAGTTAAAGGTGTCACTTCTTAGTAGGGATGGCAACGAGTAACCGGTTAACCGAGTACTCGATCGAACGTCCGAATATCGGTTAACAAAATTGATATTCGATTACTCGGGAAAAATATATATTTTCTATTTTTTGCGATTTAGAAAGATCGTTGTATCCAATTAGTTCAGAAATCCGGAGATGTGCATGTATCTTCATAAATACCCGTTAAATGCAATCAAAACATCCTTGCAGAGGTGCGAAAATGATATCATAAATTTAACAAGGCGATCAACAGTTTGACACGCGCACCTGTGTCGCTTATGTCATCCAGCCTCTTATGATATTAATTACCTTTAATTGTGTAGCCGAAGTTACTGTTTTGAAAACAACAAAGGACCAATTGCTATCATGAATGTAAGAATAAAGGTAACTAGAATTTAGACCATGTTAAACTTTTGCTGCCGCCGCTCAGTCTATATTATTGTCCCCCGCCTTTTCGAAGAAAAAAGGGGGATATAGAAATAGGCTCCGTCCGTCTGTCCGTCCGTCCGTCCGTCACACTTTCGTGTCCGGTCCATAACTTTGTCATTTATGAAAGGAATTTGAAATAACTTGGCACAAATGTTTATTATAATAAGACGATGTGTCATGCGCAACAACCAGACCCCTACCTCCAGGATCAAGGTCACACTTGCTCATTCAAGGTCAAAATTGCCTATTTGAGGGTATATGTCGTGTCTGGTCCATAACTTTCTTATCTATGAAGGGATTTTGTAAATACTTGCCATAATTGTTCACAATAATCAGACGATGTGTCATGCGCAAAAACCAGTCACCTACCTTCAAGGTCAAGGTCACACTTGGAGGTCAAATATTAACATAGTCTGTTACAGGGTATATTTCGTGTCCGGTCCATAACTTTCTTATCTATGAAGGGATTTTGTAAATACTTGCCATAATTGTTCACAATTATCAGACGATGTGTCATGCGGAAAAAGCAGTCACCTACCTTCAAGGTCAAGGTCACACTTGGAGGTCAAATATTAACATAGTCTGTTACAGGGTATATTTCGTGTCCGGTCCATAACTTTCTTATCTATGAAGGGTTTTTGTAAATACTTGCCATAATTGTTCATAATAATCAGACGATGTGTCATGCGCAAAAACCAGTTGCCTACCTTCAACGTCAAGGTCATACTTGGAGGTCAAATATTAACATAGTCTGTTACAGGGTATATTTCGTGTCCGGTCCATAACTTTGTCATTTATCAAAGGAATTTGAGATAACTTGGCACAAATGTTTGTTATAATAAGACGATGTGTCATGCGCAACAGCCAGACCCGTACCTTCAGGGTCAAGGTCGTACTTGTTCATTCAAGGTCAACATTGTCTATTTGAGGGTATATGTCGTGTCCAGTCCATAACTTTCTTATCTATGAAGGACTTTTGTAAATACTTGCCATAATTGTTAACAATAATCAGATGATGTGTCATGCGCAAAAACCGGTCACCTACCTCCAAGGTCAAGGTCACACTTGGAGGTCAAATACTTTCATAGTCTGTTACAGGGTATATTTTGTGTCAGGTCTATAATTTTTTCATAGATCAAAGGATTGTGAAAATAATTCGCACAAATAGTCACAATAATAAGAGGATGTGTCATGCGCAACACCTGCATCCCTACCTCCAAGGTCAAGGTCACACTTAGAGGTCAAAAATTAACATAGTCTGTTATAGGGTATATTTTGTGTTGAATCTAGAACTTCTTCATAGTTCAAGGGATTTTGAAATAACTTGGCACAAATAGTCACAATAATAAGACGTTATGTCATGCACAACACCTGCTCCCCTACCTCCAAGGTCAAGTTCACACTTAGAGGTCAAAGCTTAACATGATAGATTTTTAAATTCCGTGTTTCATTTTATTTTTTTAACAAATTTATTGTTACATTTGCAGATCTAGCATTGATCATAATTTTGGACTGAATGTCCTGAGATCCATACCTCAATCTTTTGAAATAGCACAATTTTATGCTTCATATAAAACTCCCGGGGCGGGGGACGTTGGTAACTCTGTTACAAATTCTTGTTTCAAATAGAAAAAAGATATATGAACTGTTATACATGTTTAAAACTTGATATTGCATTAATCAAAACGTTGTAAAATATTATGTTGTTGATTTAATTATAATTAATTTGTCTCCCGTGCAGTCCTATTTACTATCTACAGAATTCTATGAATTTAAATAGAAAACGAAAGTAGCACGCGTGTGTGATAAACTTTGAAGATCACTTGCAATCATCCGAGTAACCGAGTACTCGATCGGAAAAATGACCGAGTACTCGAGTATTGATTTTGGTATTCGTTGCCATCCCTACTTCTTAGTAAGCTATTTGGGGTGCAAAATGATAAATGCATCCAATCTTTACAGCCATTTTACCTTCCCCATTTTATAATATTAGCAAATATGGAAACTTGTCTAGATCTGCCAGATGGTATCGCTTACAAAACAATTCTTCTACAATCATCACATGAAAAAATTTGATAACAATATAAGATTTTATTAATAAGGACCCCCATGTAAAGACTGATGAATATCTAAAGTGGTACATCATATAAATAAATGTTTAAATACACCTAGGACTGAGATAAATGGTAAAACTCTTTAGCCAATACTTTAGGCCTAAAAAAAAATTGATGTGTTTCTGGTGGCTAGGCAAAAAAAAGTAGGGTCGGTAGGTCAGATTTTTTTTTTTTTTTAAGTCAATCAATGATTGTAGATATGTCAGATACGGATTATATGGACTTTAAATTACATTCTATAGCATATAAAAGTACTTAAAAATGTTAGACTACCAAACCTAGTCTTCAATCTTATATTTTGAAATAAATTTTACCAATGGCATGACTCATGTGACTCGACTTTCGTTTTCATTTTTTTTTATTCTTACCGAACAACTGGCTTCAATTTTAATATTATCACTCTTAACATGACCATGCACGTCCGAAAAATGTATTGAGCTGTTTTGCTGTGGTCTATTAATTTGATTTCCTGTTTTGCCAAACTATGATCGTATTTTTAAAGAAAATCGCCAGCAGTGACACTTCGGCTGCTTGTTGTGCCGCCATATTAGCCGGTGCGCGTTAATACGTAATTGGAACACGAATCGTCTGTGCATCACATCGTTGTCGACTCGCAATACTAAAACCCGTCTTCGGTACGGTCGGTACGGGCGCCATTTTTTTTTTTTTGTACATCGATAAAAAACTTTGGGTCGGCGCTAAAAAATAGGGTCGGTCGGGCCACCGGAAACACAACATTTTTTTTTTTAGGCCTTATAAAAAAAATTAACTAGCTAAGAAAATTTTTTACCACTATTTTAACAAGTGTCTATTTTGATATAGTGAAAGTTGGACAATTTATATTGTGTCACTTAAATCAAACAGTTTCTTATTGTTTTTCTGATAATATCTGACAATTAATCAAGTGTGGCATTTCTGCAAGTTTTGAAGTTAATACAACATGTGAGTTCATGCAATTTAGTCCAACATGACATCAGTGCCACAGAATTAAGAATGTGTTTGAATTTAGGTTGTGATTGAAAATTGGTTGTTTCGAGATACAATTTTTATTATAAATTTATTCTGCAACATTAAGAGTTTCTTGGTAGACTGGTGCAGAATTTATTATTATGAATAATCTAAAATATTTTAAACTGATTTGCCTCACTAACAAGTTCACAATCTGTATAACTTCTATGAGACAATTTGATGAAAATTATAATATGCTAATGTTAAGTTTATTTATCAAAATTTTTTTTGTAAAAAGTAGAATCCATTTAAAAATGTATTGATTATAGTGTATACATGACTTATTTTGAATACATGGATTGACAGTTTCCAAACTCCAAACTATTGTGACTTGTGAGTAAAGATAACCGATTGGATATCTCACTGTATGAAACATATGTAAAATTGTCTGACTTGTGGTAGGTTTAACCATAGATTTAAATACCTTCAGTGTTTTCATTGGTGTAATACATTTTAAAATCGAACATAAAATCACTCCAAACTAGCGGTTTAAAAACGGCTAAATTTTCATTGTTTCATCATTAGAGATATTTATTTTACTCGAAGATAAGGAAAACAACTCACATTTTTCACTCGATATACCTCGGTCATTTACATAGTTCATATAGAAACTGTCAATGGGTGTATTTAGAAACACCAAGTTTTGTAAAGGCATTTACCCTGTAATTTAAAAACCAGAATTGTGCTTGGTTATTTCTGTAAATATATGATAGAGCTTTAAAGGTAATGCATATGAAAGATTTATTCATCTCTGAAGTTCAGAGCATAAGGCAACATTACAAATTTTTATTGTTTACCATTTAACAGGCTTCATTAGCTCCTGTCAATATATTTAGCCGTGGGGCTGAAGAAGAAAAAGCTGAGACTGCAAGATTGGTAATACATACATTTTCATTGTACTTGTGTAAATTGTAATATTTAACCTTTACATTTATTTATTGATTGCCAGTAGTGGTTTTTACTGAATTCAATGTTAAAATGAATGCTTATTTAACATTCTTGTATTATTTTGCTGAATAAATGGGTTGACTGTTATTAATTATGCTTTTTGGGTTTTAAAAAATGACCATACCCAGACCTTGCCGAATTTCCTATGCATTTCTAAACTACCAGCTTACATTCTTACAAACTAGTTCACTTAGTACACTTATATTTTTAAGAGGTATCTGTAAGTACTAAGTTTTGAATTGTTTTGTTAAAATTCGCTTTGACAAATTTTTGCAGTCATCATTTGTTGGTGCCATTGCAATTGGAGATTTAGTGAAGAGTACTCTTGGACCAAAAGGAATGGTAAGTGTTTGATAATAGTTTAATACAGGAAAATAACTTCTTATGATTCCGTATATTAATTTTCTAAAGTTTTTGCTGGTTAAATCCATTGTCATATTTTTTCTACCGTAGTATTATGTACAATGATAAAACAATTTAATATTTTACTTGTTATTTTTCAAGAGATGGAAAACTTGTTTATTATTAGTGCGTAAATGGTAAGGAGTTGAATTAAATTCAAGGGCACAGACTTTTACAGTTACAACTTCATAAAATGATAGATAATGCATGCAACAGGTTCAACACTCAATTGTAGAACTTAAAAAGTTTGTTAGTACCCCGGAAAAAGATGCAGAAAAGCGCACATTTACCTAGTTCCTGATAACATCTTTTGTCTATGAGTAATTTTTAAATATTTCACTTTTCTGTTGTAGCAAAAAAATGAAAATCCAATAAACATTCATCTAAACACCAATAACATGTACGATGTCTTTAGTAATTTGCCATACCAAATTTTTAATAATTTGAAATAATATTGAAGTATGGAATATAATGACATTTTTTTCTGTAATTAATTACTTCCAGGATAAGATATTACAAAGTATGGGTAGAAGTGACAGGATTCAGGTAACCAATGATGGAGCCACCATTCTGCGATCTATTGGAGTAGATAACCCAGCTGCTAAAGTTCTTGTTGGTAAGATAGATCTATTAAATCTTAACAATGAGCTATCTTGGTAATTTCTAACCCTTTAGTGACTTCATAGACCATTTTTTAGTCAACCTTTTATGCCATGAATGACTCCAACCGTCAGAGTTGATTTTGAGGTGCTATGGATTTGCAGTTAGTCTATCAAAATCTTTGTTTTTGCAACTGAAAACACAACTTGTCTTATACGATTACTGCAAAATATAACATTTAGAGATCGAAAATTCCACTTGTCCGCTTGTGATTACGAGTAGAATTTAAGTGAATTTGGTCAGGACTAGAAGAAAAATGTTGCCTGCACATTGGATTTAGAAGTCCTGCAGGACGAGTTATTCTGAAAATATTTTTCATTGCCTGACATTTCCTGTACTTGTATTGCAGATATATCAAAAACACAAGATGATGAAGTAGGAGATGGAACAACATCAGTTGTCGTACTTGCTAGTGAACTTCTAAGGGTAATTGTCCATATCAATTTTGTCATTTTTCTTTTCCTTTGATGTTTCTTATTTTGAATTAAGTCATTTAATTCCATGTGAGTCAGTGCTGTTAGGTAGATTTGTTTCAGAATTTTACTGTGCATATTGGATATGTTTGTTATAAATAGGTGAAATTTCAGCTCACTTTGCCCAAAGATCTTGGCAATGTGATTTAAACCGATTCAAGAGAAAAATGTTGGTTGTTTATATTATTTTGATTATACAAAATTATCATAAGTATTAATCAGGCATGCTGACATTGACTTTATTGCATTTGTTAAATGACTAAGACTGTTATATAAATGGAGATAAAAGTGGTTTGTTCACGTCTTTTTTATTGCCAAACTTCTAAATATAAGGTAATATATATTGGAACATCATGAGTTAAACTAGGAAGAATTTTTTCTATTCTTTGAGTTTCCACAAATATATCTTAAGAATTTTTGTATTTTGTAGGAGGCAGAAACTCTGGTATCAAAGAGAATTCACCCACAGACAATTATATCGGGCTGGAGAATGGCAACAGATGAGGCCAGGAAAGCTCTGAAAAATTTTGCAAAGGACCATGGGTATGAGATTTTATATTATTGATAGCTGTACACTTGTCCTTTCCAGGTTTTTTTACTTAATTGGGAAAAGTTCCAAGTTGGCAAGGTGATGAGAAGGCAGAGATTTTTCTCACTTTCTTGAGAAAAGGCCCTAGCTTCTTGATTTTGGGAAGTTTTTCCCGCTAAAATTTGCTGCATATGGAAGTAAAAATGCAAGTGTAACTTTGCATTTTTGGGAAAACTGCATGATTGAAAAGGAAATTTCTATTCGGAAAAGGCCCTTTATAGGCCTCTGTTATTAAAGTGAAAGGAAATACACTGGGTTGGGGAGTGGGGGTGAATGCTTAAGGTAGCTCACTTTAAGCCTCATGCCATTTACAGTTGATTAGAATCCCATCAGGGACAATGGATTCTTCCGTGTAAGGAAGCTATCCTGCTTGATTGCAGATGTTCTCGATGGTTCAGATGTTTCTGTGTTTGCCGGAAATATTGTAAGAGGGGCATCTTAGGTTTTTACCCACCAGTATAGCAAGAAAGCCACTATATGATTTTAAAGTTTTGCGTGACTTGCAAATTGACCAAAAAAATAGTTCTAGTTTTTAACAGCAGGCATTCTACATTTCAGTCATGGTAACTTATATCTGTAAATTGTGCTTTAGTAAAATTACAGAGCTCCAGATAGCATGCGTATCAGCGGGAAATTCGCATAGAAAATCTAAAATACGCATCACTTTCAAAATTCGGGTGTCAAAGTTACGCACAACAAAATGAAAATACGCTTGTATGTCAAAATTTAAGCGTAAAACAAAAGAAGTGTTAACATTTGATATTTAGAAAGAGGATGTTTTGAGCATAAAAATCAATATATTTCTATATTATTGCTTTGAAAACTAAAAATTCTGTTGTCAACAACGCATGTTAACGAAAGTAGCAGGAAGTACAGAAGGTAACTCCCGTAGATAAACCTGTGAAATTATTGATAAAATTTGTGCCAGATAATCATCGTAGGAGTTTAGTTTGTTTAGGTATCTATTGACATGCCTATGCCTCAATATAAACAAAAATATATTTTAATTTCTTTCACTTTTGTTGTTGGAACAAAAAAAACATGTTTTTCACCTGCAGTTTTGTACTCCTATTTTCGTACCCAGTCTACAGTTACGGACATTTTTCTCTCAGACCAATACTTTTTTTAAGTAAAGATAAAAAAATCTTGCTTATTATTCTTTAATTCTAATTTCAACTATAATTGTTCAAACTGGAGTACATGATAAGGTACATACCAACAGAAATAAAGAAAGAAAATATTGCCTCCTGGAATATAGAATAATTTCAGGGGTTCCACTAGTGGAAGTTTGGGAGTCATTTACTCCTAATTTTTGGCTTGTGACTTCCAAAATCTAATACTTTTCCTTCTTTACTTATGTAATGTGATTTCCAATATCAGAGATTTTGAAGTCTTTGACTTCCAAATTTTGAAAATGGAAGCCCTGATAATTTTGCTGTGTATCCTAAACTTGAGTTTATGTCTTCAGAAACGATGCCACCAAGTTCCGTCAAGATCTGATCAACATTGCACGTACCACCATTAGCTCTAAGATTCTCACACAGTACAAGGAAATGTTTGCAGAATTAGCTGTAAAAGCTGTATTAAGATTAAAGGTAAATTGATTACTATTTCTATTTAGTGTGGTTATGGTCCCCCCAAAAAATGGGGGTTTGACACTGAAAACAAAAAAAAATCTGATTTCAATATTTTAAAGATTTATGATTCTTCAGTAGGACACATTTTTTTGATGCTACTGATTTGATTGACAACAATTTACAAATTAATTTATTGATACATTTTAAAGAAAATAATTTTATTTTTCTGAAATTGCTTGGTTTAAAAAACAATAGATGTCATAATTTGATTCTGTATTATCCTTTATTCTAAGAGGTTTTCCCAACTTTCATTTCACCCGAGATGGTAATATTTGGGACAGGGGGGATGATGACCAAACAAATTCCATAACTTCAGTATAGGCTTTTAAATTTCATAATGTCCCAGTCTTCCTTATACAACATTGAATATGGTAACCATTGATGCTAGTTTTCAATTTTTGTAAAGTTTGTTACATCTTCAAATGTGTTTTACAGGGAAGTGGAAATCTGGATGCCATCCAAATTATAAAGAAACTAGGAGGTGGTTTACAGGACTCCTACTTGGATGAAGGTAGGTCCTGCTATTCTTTTCTGACAATGATAAAACAGGGCGATATAACCAGTATAGGATCAAGCTAGCATGCTTATCCATGCAGACGAAGAAGAGTGTATGAAGTCATGTGCGGCTCAAATTTTGTGATTAGATACTGAACTTCATTTATTTAGCAATATTCAGGTCAAAATTCAAGTTAGTTATTTCTCTGAGCTGTTACATATGATGTTAAATTGAATTATAATGAACATGCTATACAATTTCATGTATTGTTTATTTTATTGATATTTTTTTTCCGTAACTTCTCAATTTATGTTTAAACAATCAATATGAAATACAAAATAACATACTATACTTTTGAAAATCAAGATTTGATTACATGTAATTGTATGTGAAATTTCTCAGAATTATCTTGAGAATCTTATTTCAGTCTTACAAATTTTCTTTGTATACTTTCTAGGATTTTTGCTGGATAAGAAAATTGGTGTCAATCAACCTAAAAGAATAGAAAACGCCAAGATTCTCGTTGCAAACACACCAATGGACACAGATAAAATCAAGGTATGTCACGGGAAAACCATCTTTGTCAACTTATTTTGAAAAATGTGACACTCTTGCAAGAAAATCATTCTAATATATCAAAATATAATTCATTCCTAGTCTATCAAAATATAATTAGGCACATTCTGTTGCCTCTTTAATGAATTTAACCTTGCAACTCTTTAATTGATTACTTACATATTTTTATCTTAATGAATGTAACCTTGTGGCCCTTTGATTGCCTAAATGTCTATATCTTAATGAATTTTACCTAGCTGACCTTTAATTGATTGCTTAGATATCTTTATGAATATAAACTTGGGTCCCTTTAATTGCTATAATATCTATATCTTAATGAATTTAACCTTGCAGGTCTTTTATTGATTGCTTAAGTATCTATATCTTAATGAATTTAAGCTCGCAGCCTATTAACTAAAGACAAATTAGAATTGTATGACTTAAAAAAAAAAGACTATTTAATTGAAGTTAGTCAATGACATTTTTTTTTACCCATATTTTCAGGTTTTTGGATCTAAAGTGAAAGTAGATGCTATCTCAAAGGTTGCTGATTTAGAACTTGCAGAGAAAGAAAAGATGAAAGACAAAGTTGCTAAAATACTCAAACATGGTTGTAACGTTTTCATCAACAGGTAAGTAAACTATATGTTGTTCTATTGCATGTGAAACAAACTGATGTCTGTCTGCCAAGCTTATTAAAGGGTATCGATCGTGACCCGGAATTTTTTGGTTTTTTAAACCCTTTTGGGTGGGCAAAAAAAAAAATTTAAATTTGGCCCAAAGAGTCTTTTAGTCATTAAAATTTGTCTTAATCTGGGTAGTTCCACAAAACTGGTGGAATTTTCCAAATTTTATTTGAATTTGTTAAAACTGGGTTTGTTTTTAAATAGAAAAAATTGTTTGCCGGTTAAGAGTTGTGAAACCAAAAAGTGAAAAAAATCTTGAGTGAAAACCCCCAACCCCGACAAATTATACAAAAATTTATGTTTTTTTTAAATGTTTAAAGGGTATTTCATGTATATTTAAAACAAAAGTTATAGTTATTTTGGGGGAAAAAAATTCTGAAATGATTGGGGTAAAAATGAAAAGGGGAAATAATAAAAAGCAGACATTCTAAATTTTTAATTCTTTTGGAAAAAACAAACCAAAAAAAAAAAAAACGTTTCTGTTAATAAAATCCTTTTAAAAAAAAATTTTAAAAAAGAAAGTAGCCTTTCCCACTGTTTCAAGTGAAAACTGTTTATTGTAACGACTTTAAATTTTCATTGGGGTCATACTTCAATTTTTTCTAAATTTTTTAAAAAAAAGATCCCAAATTTTAAGAAGAGAAAAAATGTTAGGGTTTAGTTTTAAACATAAAATTTTAAATTTGGGTTTTTGTAAAATGTTTCCCCATGTAAAAACCAAAAAAGATTTTTGGTTTTTACCCAAAAAAAAAACATCTTATTTTTCAAAGATGAAGAAAAAAGGGGACACAAAAATTTTGGGTTTTTTTTTTTTAGGCAAATTTATTTTAAAAACCTTTTCCCAGAGCAGCTGTTTGGGTGATTCTGGGGGTTTTTGGCAAAAAAAAGCTGCAGACTTTTTAAGGGGGTTGAGAGGGCTGGGGACTTTTTCGGTAAAATCCAAAAAAATTCTGTCTTTTATTGCTTAAAAGTTAATATTGTTCATAAGATAATTTTACAGGAATACATGTTCTCTGTAATGAAGCCAGTGTTTGAAAAGGTGATCATGTTTGACATCAAAATGGAAAACTTCTGCATTTTTATTGTGTGTTTATTGAATCTGTATGACTATAAACATGCTATTCATCAAGTGTGTACCCATTTCTTTGCTATGAAATATTGTGGAAAAAAAAACAGCCCTGTGTGCACTAGCTTTAAAAGAGCCTCATGCTTCGGCAAGTGTTAAATACTCAAAAAAGGTGTATTTACCTTCTATTGTATTTAATGTATTATTTTCTTAAAGGCGGAGAAATCTATTCAACATTCGACAACCCCGAGTCATGTAAACTAGGACACTGTGATGTCATTGAGGAAATTATTATCGGAGAAGATAGGCTTATCAAATTCTCAGGTACATTGTATACAATTATTATAATACCAGTTCTTTGCAGAAGGTCGTTGACGTCTACTTGGGTATCTGTTTGTGTATGAAATAATTCAAGGAAGGGTAATCTGGTGACTTCCTTCTCTTGAAATCTTAAATTAGTGATAATAAATATTCATATGAGTAACAACTCTTTCTTAGAAATTTGTCACAAAATGGCAGGTATGATTCTGTACAAACTCACATAAAACACTTAAAATTGTGCAAACTCTTAAAGGGACTCCACTGAGGTTTAAAAACCTAAAAACATAACATTTGAATTTCTGATATAAATGGGCTGGGGCGATTTAAACAGAAATATATTTAAAGATAGTTAAGAAATATACTTTGAAATAAATTGAAAATTGTATTTTTATGCTTTTCTAAGCCCGATTTGAGTGAAAAGTGTTTAAACGAATGATCTGAAATTTTGCACAAAGATTAGTGGTCTAAACCTTCATCAAATGGTACATTTATCAGGGGAAAATATTTTCAGTCCCATCATGTCAAAAAAACCTCAGTGAAGTCCCTTTAATATTGTGGAATTTATTATTGGGTAATCAAAAAAGGTGCCATAACTAAAATAAGTTTGCAATTTTTTCTAAGGTAAACCTTAAATGTCAGAGACTTTGTTTTTATTGTAACTTTAAGTGATTTAAGGAATGCTGAATAGCTATTTTTATTATATTTGCATTAGGTTAAATAATTTTTAAATATCTGAAATGGAAATACTAATTATTCTTTAAGTGTATTTCTTTTAAAGTCTGTATTTACATTTAAGACATTGTCAAAACAATATTTAGATGTTAAGAAGTAAAATATAATATTTTAGGTGTTAAGATGGGTGAGGCTTGTACAGTTATTCTCCGAGGAGCCACACAACAGATTTTGGATGAGGCTGAACGTTCCCTCCATGATGCCCTCTGTGTACTCACACAAACTGTAAAGGAGACCAAGACTGTCTATGGAGGAGGTATCAGCATATTTACATAAATTGTTCTATTTAGATCAACAAGTAGTTTTCTGTGGGGTGACCATGGCAGAATGAATAGGGCATTGACTTCAAACCACTTGCCCCTTAACGCTGTGGAACTATCCAGCTAACTTGGTTCTACTATGGTACCCATTTGTGTCTGAAATTAGGTTCAGAAAGGCACCTAAGATCTTCCTCCACCAGTAAGCTGGAAAGTTCCCATATGTATAACATCTTTGTTTGTGTGATGTTAAACCAAAGTAGCTTTCTAGTGAAGAATTTAGAATATATATATGAACATAGGGAAATAATAACACATCATTCAGCCATTTTTCCCCCTGAATTGTAAATGGGTCGGGTACCATAAAAATTGTGGAAAAAAAGCGTTGTTTCTTAACAAATTGTGAATTTTTTAATTAAGATTGTTAATATCTTATTAAGCAGTAAGAACATATTATTTTTTTAGCTCACCTGAGCTTGCTCAGGGTGAGCTTTTAGGATCGGTGAATGTCCGTCGTCCGTCGTCCGTCGTCCGTCCGGCCGTCCACAATTACTTGTGAACACTCTAGCGGTCGCATTTTTGCCTCAATCATCATCAAACTTGGTCAGGATGCTTATCTAGTTGAAAGCTCGGATGAGTTCGAACATGGGTCATCTCGGATGAAAAACTAGGTCACAAGAGCTAAAAATAGAAAAACCTTGTGAACACTCTAGAGGTCACATTTTTTGACCCAATCATCATCAAACTTGGTCAGGATGTTTGTCTAGGTGATAGCTTGGATGAGTTCGAACATGGGTCATCTCGGATGAAAAAGTAGGTCACAGGAGCTATAAATAGAAAAACCTTGTGAACACTCTAGTGGTCACATTTTTTGAACCAATCATCATCAAACTTGGTCAGAATGCTTGTCTAGTCAATTGCTTGGATGAGTTCGAACATGGGTCATCTCTGATGAAAAACTAGGTCACAGGAGCTAAAAATAGAAAAACCTTGTGAACACTCTAGTGGTCACATTTTTGACCCAATCATCATCAAACTTTTGTCAGGATGCTTGTTTAGATAATAGCTCGGATGAGTTCGAATATGGGTCATCTCGGATGAAAAACTAGGTCACCGGAGCTATAAATAGAAAAACCTTGTGAACACTCTAGTGGTCACATTTTTGCATCAATCATCATCAAACTTGGTCAGGATGCTTATCTAGTTGATAGCTTGGATGAGTTCGAACATGGGTCATCTCGGATGAAAAAGTAGGTCACCAGAGCTAAAAATAGAAAAACCTTGTTAACACTTTAGCGGTCACATTTTTGCATCAATCATCATCAAACTTGATCAAGATGCTTGTCTAGGTGATAGCTCGGATGAGTTCGAACATGGGTCATCTCGGATGAAAAACTAGGTCACAGGAGCTAAAAATAGAAAAACCTTGTTAACACTCTAGTGGTCACAATTTTGACTCAATTGTCATCAAACTTGGTCAGGAAACTTGTCTAGGTCATTGCTGGGAATAAATCGAACATGGGACATTTCGGATGAAAAACTAGGTCACAGGAGCTAAAAATAGAAAAAATCTTGTTAACACTCTAGTGGCTACTGTTTGTGATCCAAATATTCTGTTAATTGGTCTGAAAGTTTGTTTTGATGATTTCTAAGTCAAGATCGAACATGGGTCATCTTGGATGAAAAACTAGGTCACACCGCCCAAATATGGAAAAACCTTGTTAACATTCTAGTGGTCACATTTTCGACTCAATTATCATCAAACTTGGTCAGGATGTTTGTCTAGGTAATTGCTTGGATGAGTTCGTGTGAAACTAGGTCACCGGAGCTAAAAATAGAAAAATCTTGTTAACACTCTAGTTGCTACTGTTTTGATCCAAGTATCCTGGAAATTGGTCTGAAAGTTTGTTTTGATGATTTCTAGGTCAAGTTTGAATATGTGTCACCTGGGTAAAAAACTAGGTCGCACTGCTCAAATATGGATAATCCTTGTTAACACTGTAGTGGTCACATTTTTGACTCACCTGTCATGAGACTTGGTCAGAATGCTTGTCTAGGTAATTGTTTGGATGAGTTTGATAATTCAGGTGAGCGATCTAGGGCCATCATGGCCCTCTTGTTAACGTAATATTTACTGTTACGAGACATTTTGAATGATGTTTACAGAAATTACCAGAGTCGCTTGTTTCATTATTGATTCGTCCCTAGAAGTTTCGTATTTAAACAATACGAAAATTTAAAGGGCGAATGCACTGGAAATCATGGTTGGCTAAACGCATTTTAAGATAAACAAAGCACAACAGGCAAAATTTTAGCATCATTATGAGAAGAGAGGAAATAATACGTTATTAAAGGCTTAATTAATCAGAATTGTGAAATTTTATCAGAATTGCGACGGCTCCGTCGGACCCAGTCTGAAAATTGTGAAGGTTCGTTTGTGAATGGGTCCGTTATTCGGTACCACTTATATAGGGGAAAAAATCACTGTCATTTGGTCCTGACTTATTTTGAAATTTATTGATGTTGTTGAATGCTGTTTTCAAATAATTTTTTCTTATGCATCTTTTTAATAAATTCAGGAAGTTCAGAGATGTTGATGTCCGATGCTGTCTCAAAATTAGCAGCAAAGACACCTGGAAAGGAGGCTGTTGCTATGGAAGCATATGCTAAAGCTCTAAGAATGGTACTGAATAATGTTACTCCTGTAAACTGTTGTAACACTCAAGTTTGATAATATTTCTTCTTTGAAGGTCAACTTTAGAAGACTTGTTAAATGAGTGAGATTGGTTACACCCAACTTTTATTTGCTTAAAATATCGGTCATCATATTTAAACAACATTCCAAGTTTAAATAATTCTATTTAACTGTTTTTAATCTGTCGGTATGTCTATACAAAAATCCCTGAAAACGTCCTTATTATCAGTTTTAGGTATTCCCCAAATTTTTGTATGTTTTACAAGTGTTTGTAGTACAAGATAATTACGTCTGTTCTGTCCCCTTGAATTGAAACTATTTTTATCTACAGTTGTATATGCAGATAAGATGAATACATGACAAGTTCATTATGCTATCAAAATTCAAATATTTTCATTTATTTAAAACTTCAGTTTTGATTTCCAGCTACAAATTTCCAAATAAATACTCATTGGCTATTATATTGCTGAACCATTTGTTGCCTTGTTTGCTGTTCAGATATCTGTATCATAGTACAGTGATAGAGTATATTGTATGGAAGTGGTAATACCACTTTGTTTCATTTTTGGTTAGTTTTATGGCTATTATAATATTATAAATTGTAATTTTAGATTCCAGCAACAATTGCTGACAATGGTGGTTATGACAGTGCCCAGTTAGTATCTGAACTGAGAGCTATACATACAGAAGGCAAACATACATTTGGTATCAGTAAGTATTTTCACATACTGTTCTTATATGGGAAATAATACATGGATAAGCACCAAAGGTATTTTGTCACCGGGAAAGCAGAGAAAGCACTACATGAACTTGAACTTACAGTTTTAATTGAAAAGTAAGTAAGCAAAAATGATAATTTTTAGCTCACCTGTCACAAAGTGACAGGGTGAGCTTTTGTGATCGCTTTTCGTCCGGCGTCCGTCCGTCCGTCGTCCGTCCGTCCGTCCGTAAACTTTTACTTTAAATGACATCTCCTCATAAACCACTAAGCCAATTTCATCCAAACTTCACAGGAATGTTCCTTTGGTGGTCACCTTTAAAAATTGTTCAAAGAATTTAATTCCATGCAGAACTCTGGTTGCCATGGCAACCGAAAGAAAAAACTTTAAATATCTTCTTTTAAAAAAACATAAAAGCCAGAGCTTAGATATTTGGCATGAAACATCTTCTAGTGAGTGTCTACCAAGTTTGTTCAAATAAAAGCCCTGGGGTCAAAATTGGCCCCGCCCCGGGTGGTCATTGATTTTCCCTATATGCATATAGTAAAAACTTAAAAAATCTTCTTTTAAAGAACCCAAAGAGCTAGAGCTAAGATATTTAGCATGAAACATGTTCTAATGGGTGTCTACCAAGTTTGTTTAAATAAAAGCCCTGGGGTGAAAATTGGCCCCGCCCCGGGGGTCATTGATTTTCCCTATATGCATATAGTAAAAACTTAAAAAATCTTCTTTTAAAGAACTCAAAGAGCTAGAGCTTAGATATTTGGCATGAAACATCTTCTAGTGAGTGTTTACCAAGTTTGTTCAAATAAAAGCCCTGGGGTCAAAATTGGCCCCGCCCCGGGGGGTCATTGATTTTCCCTATATGCATATAGTAAAAACTTAAAAAATCTTCTTTTAAAGAACCCAAAGAGCTAGAGCTAAGATATTTAGCATGAAACATTTTCTAATGGGTGTCTACCAAGTTTGTTCAAATAAAAGCCCTGGGGTGAAAATTGGCCCCGCCCCGGGGGTCATTGATTTTCCCTATATGCATATAGTAAAAACTTAAAAATCTTCTTTTAAAGAACTCAAAGAGCTAGAGCTTAGATATTTGGCATGAAACATCTTCTAGTGTGTGTCTACCAAGTTTGTTCAAATAAAAGCCCTGGGGTCAAAATTGGCCCTGCCCCAGGGGGTCATTGATTTTCCCTATATGCATATATTAAAAACTTAAAAAATCTTCTTTTAAAGAACCCAAAGAGCTAGAGCTAAGATATTTAGCATGAAACATGTTCTAATGGGTGTCTACCAAGTTTGTTCAAATAAAAGCCCTGGGGTGAAAATTGGCCCTGCCCCGGGGGGTCATTGATGCATATATGCATATAGTAAAAACTTAAAAAATCTTCTTTTAAAGAACTCAAAGAGCTATGGCTAAGATATTGAGCATCAAACATGTCTAATAGGTGTCTACCAAGTTTGTTCAAATACAAGCCCAGGGGTCAAAATTGGCCCCGCCCCGGGGGTCATTGATTTTCTTTATATGTGTTTAGCAAAAGCTTTATATCTTCTTTGAAAAAAACCCAAATAGCTAGAGTTTAGATATTAAGCATGAAACATCTTCTAGTAAGTGTCTACAAAGTTTGTTCAAATAAAAGCCCTGGGGTCAAAACTGGCCCGGCCCCAGGGGTGTCATTGTTTTTAACTATATGTGTATAGTAAAAACTTTAAAAAAATCTTCTTTTAAAAAGCCCAATGAGCTAGAGCTTAAATGTTTAGCATGAAACATCTTCTTATGGGTGTCTACCAAGTTTGTGCAAATAAAAGCCCTTGGGTTAAATTGGCTCTGCAACGTTGGGGGAGGTGGGGGTTGGGGGGGCGCTATATACAGGTGAGCGACCTCAGGGCCATCATGGCCCTCTTGTTTTATCCCCCGCCGAATAAGCGGCGGGGGATATAGAAAAAGTCTCCGTCCTTCCGTCCGACATTTTTGTCCGGAGCATATCTCTAAAAGTATTTGAGTAATCAACTTGAAACTTCATAGGTGGATAGACCTCACTCAGGAGGTGTGCAGTGCACAAGAATGATAACTCTACCTTTCATAATTTTTAGCTCACCTTGCACAAAGTGCAGGTGAGCTTTTAGGATGGCCAACCAAATGGTGTCCGTCGTCTGTCGTCCGTCCACATTTTAAATATTCTAAGGACATCTTCTATGATACCGCAAGGCCAATGTTAATGAAACTTGGCAGGAATACTCTTTGTATGAAGCTCTATCAAGATTGTTCAAAGAATTCCATTTCATGCAGAACTCTGGTTGCCATGGCAACCGAAAGAAAAATCTTTAAATATCTTCTTTTAAAGAACCGTAAGAGCTAGAGCTTAGATATTTGGCATGAAACATCTTCTAATGAGTGTCTACCAAGTTTGTTCAAATAAAAGCCCTAGGGTCAAAATTGGCCCAGCCCCAGGGGGTCATTGATTTTCCCTATATGCATATAGTAAAAACTTAAAAATCTTCTTTTAAAGAACCCAAAGAGCTAGAGCTAAGATATTTGGCATGAAACATCTTCTAGTGAGTGTCTACCAAGTTTGTTCAAATAAAAGCCCTGGGGTCAAAATTGGCCCCGGCCTGGGGGGTCATTGATTTTCCCTATATGCATATAGTAAAAACTTTAAAAATCTTCTTTTAAAGAACTATTAAAGCTAGAGCTTAGATATTTGGCATGAAACATCTTCTAGTGAATGTCTACCAAGTTTGTTCAAATAAAAGCCCTGGGGTCAAAATTGGTCCCGCCCCAGGGGGTCATTGATTTTTCTTATATGCATATAGTAAAAACTTAAAAAATCTTCTTTTAAAGAACCCAAAGAGCTAGAGCTAAGATATTTAGCATGAAACATCTTCTAATGGGTGTCTACCAAGTTTGTTCAAATAAAAGCCCTGAGGTCAAAATTGGCCCTGCCCCAGGGGGTCATAGATTTTCCCTATATGCATATAGTAAAAACTTAAAAAATCTTCATTTAAAGAACCCAAAGAGCTAGAGCTAAGATATTTGACATGAAATATCTTCTAGTGAGTGTCTACCAAGTTTGTTCAAATAAAAGCCCTGGGGTCAAAATTGGCCCCGCCCCAGGGGGTCATTGATTTTCCCTATATGCATATAGTAAAAACTTAAAAAATCTTCTTTTAAAGAACTCAAAGAGCTAGAGCTAAGATATTTAGCATGAAACATGTTCTAATGGGTGTCTACCAAGTATGTTCAAATAAAAGCCCTGGGGTCAAAACTGGCCCTGCCCGGGGGTCATTGATTTTCCTTATATGTGTATAGCAAAAACTTAAAAATCTTCTTTGAAAAAACCCCAAATAGCTTGAGTTTAGATATTATACATGAAACATCTTTAAGTAAATATCTACAAAGTTTGTTCAAATAAAAGCCCGGGGGTCAAAACTGGCCCTGCCCCAGGGGTGTCATTGTTTTTAACTATATGTGTATAGTAAAAACTTTAAAATCTTCTTTTAAAAAACCCAATGAGCTAGAACTTAGATGTTTAGCATGAAACATCTTCTTATGGGTGTCTACCAAGTCTGTTCAAATAAAAGCCCTTGGGTAAAAATTGGGGGGGGGGGGGGGGCTATATACAGGTGAGCGACCTCAGGGCCATCATGGCCCTCTTGTTGAGTTATGCCCTTTGTTATTTTTCATACCTAATTTTTCACCCGAGTGGAACATAACTCAAAAAGTGTTTGACATATCAACATGAAATGTCATAGGTGGATAGATCTTATTGAGGAGGAATGTTGTGCACAAGAATGATAACTCTTCCCTATACAATTTTTGAGTTATTGCCCTTTGTTCTTTTTCATGCTATTTTGTCCAGAGCTTATCTCAAAAAGTATTTGAGGTATCAACTTGAAACTTCATAGGTGGATGGATCTTATTGAGGAGGAGTGCAGTGCACAAGAATGATAACTCTACTCTGCATAATTGTTTAGTTATTGCCCTTTTTTTATTTTTCAAAATTAATTTTTGTCCAGAGCATAACTCAAAAGGCCTTTGAGATATCATTATGAAACTTCATAGGTGCATAGATCTAACTCAGGAGGTGTGCAGTGCACAAGAATGATAACTCTACCTTTTATAATTTTTGAGTTATTGCCCTTTGTTATTTTTCATACTTAATTTTTCAATTCAATTTTTTTCTCAAAAAGTATTTGAGGTATCAACTTGAAACTTCATAGGTGGATAGATTTTACTGAGGAGGGATGCAGCACACAAGAATGATAACCTACCCTGCATTATTTTTCAGTTATTGCCCTTTGTTATCCGTGGTCGAGTGGTTAGAGTCGATGACTTCTAATCCAGTTACCTCTCTGGCGTGGGTTCGATCCCCGGGATATGCTTTGGTAGTTTAGCGCGGAGGAAGGTAGTCAAGTACTGGTGTAACTCTCCAGGAACGATGGTTAGGAAACTACCCGCCTATATGACTGAAATACTGTTGGAAAAAGGCGTAAAATGACACAAACAAACAAAGCCATCAGTATTCACATAGGTTTCAAATCTGTAATCACTATAGCCATCAGTTTTCATTACTAAAAGACCTCTTAAAATGGAATTATTCTGCTGTACTACATATACATTCTTCCAATGAGCAAACACATTCGGCGGGGGATGGCCATGTTGACATGGCTCTTGTTTTAAATGAAAGTTAGGGATACAGTGTGTTAATTACAATCAAAAACTATTTTTTTCTTATAGCATATTGATTTTGTAATGCAAGGAAATAGTTTTAAAAGGGAGGTAACCTATTCAGTTGAGCAGAGAAAAGAGAGCATTTGTTAAGATTTAGAACAATGGCTATAGCATTATTCTTTCCATGCACTGTCATTTGAAATCCTTGAATCTAACAACACACAAATTGAATTTTGTTTGAATATTATTACCAACAAACATAAAAAAATCACAGACACACAAACAAAATAGTTATTTAACATGTTTAAATCCTAAAAGGGAATATTTAAAGATAGCAATGCTTTCACACAAAGATTCCTCCAGAAAGTTTTCTGGATTTCTCATTTGAAGTGTTACAGTTCACTTTACATTCAAGAGTATATTAAATCATTTAATTTACTATTTGTCTAGGCTTTGTATAAAACCATTGTAGCACTACTTTGATTTAAAAAAAAAAAGATTGTAATTGAAAAAATGTATATATATTTTTAGATATGGATGAGGGAGAAGTGGGTGACATGGAGAAATTAGGCATTACAGAATCTTTCCAAGTAAAACGTCAAGTGTTACTGAGTGCCTCAGAAGCTGCAGAGATGATTCTCCGTGTTGACGACATCGTGAAAGCGGCGCCTCGACAGAGAAATCCAGATATGAGAGATCATTGATAGACTATTAAATTATATAAGTTCTGCTCTATTAATTGTCTGCGTGTAACATTAACATATTCCACCCTGGTTTATTAGTCAGAATTTCTGACAATGAAGAAGGAAGTTACGGCTTATGTACTATTTGTGTTAAATTATTGTAAAAATGCACTGAACAAATTTGCTTTTGGAAAGTTAAAGTGCTATGATAGAAGGATTAAAGCAAATAGAAAACTTATAACAAGGAAATTATTAGGATTTATCTCAAAAATTACAATTATCCTTTAGGACATTAACGTCTTTATATGTTAAAACTGTGATGTGTTCAACTAAAACATTATGGTTCCATTTTGCATCATGTACCTTTAATTTTGATCAATATTTATTTCATTAGAATTTTTTCTACATGTGCTCATTTTTAATAAAATGATAAAAACAAGGTTGGATTTCTTTTGATTTACAAGAAACTAGAGACTTTGTACTAGTTAGGCTTATTTGAAAGAATGTAATAATATTTGTCTGAGTGTAATTAATTATTCAGTAAGGAGTTATGGGTCTAAGTACTAAACACATTTTCATTTGAATAATTTGTTTCACAATATTTTTTTTTATTTTTTAAAGAAAAGGTAGTAACTTAAAGATCCTGTAACACATTTTTTCATGGTTTTATTTCATAAATATGATGCTCAAATTAAAAATTGTCAATATTGTAAGTTCCAATAAGCATTATTTATTAATATATTACCGAATTTAACATTTCATCTAAATAAAGGGAGGTAATTAGAAATTTATTCTTATAAAGTCAAATTTTCCAATAAGAAATGAAAGCATATAATTAATTGATTACATATAATGTGCAAAAATATTTTCAGTTCATATTTTACATATTGTTCAATTTTATTGGCATAATTATATAAATATATAATTTATTGTAAGTATGGTACACACAGAGTAACAATATCAATCGTAAAACACACATGATAAAATGTTCACATGAACATAGAACATATACATAATGTACTAAAGATTTGTTTAGAGAAACAACATGTAATACTGATTTTCTTACATGAGAATTGAAAACTTGAAAAAATAAATGCACTTAATTGGGTTTTACGTTCTTACCAACACGTTATAGGTCATATTGCGACATTCCAGCTTTACTGGTGGAGGAAGACCTCAGGTGCCCTTTCGTACATTGTTTCAGGCACAAACAGAAACCTGAGTAGAACCACCGACGTTCCGCAAGCTAGCTGGATAGCTTCCTCACATGAAAGAATCCAAAGTCCCTGTCGGGATTCGAGCCCACAGTGGTGAGGGGGGCAGTCTGAATTACTAGTTGATATTTTATTTTGTGACTTAGAAATCAATGTGTTCTTTTTAACATTTTGACAAGATGTAATATTTAAAATATCAAAATTAGCAGATATATTTACTGATGTCTGGATTGTCCGTTTTGTTTGTTTCATTTTACGCCTTTTCCCAACAATATTTCAGTCATTTAGGCGGGTGACCTGCAGACTATGTAATGGATATGCCCTGCCTTCTTTAAATATAGAACAGTCAATTCAAGTTTTTGAATTATCAATATACTGTAGGCTACCAACAATACAGAGCCTGGTCTGACTGCAGATTTCACCGTTTGCCTGGTTTTATACTGGTGGAAAAGGCCATACATCTTAGATTACAGCAAGTTAGGGGTTAGATCACAAAAACAACAACAACAACAGCATTACAATAGAATGATTGTAACTTAAATAGTTTGTCTTCTTCACTTGCAATACCTCGTAATTTCGCTGCCAATGAAAAGGTAGAGAGTCTCTATCTATGTATTATTTTTTAACGATGTCACCAACTATAGATTAATGATAAACTCTTATTTATAGTATTTTCTTTTTCAACCTTATCAATTATTCTTTGCCCTTGCATTTACTAATTGAGAAAGTAGAGTACAAATGTGAATTTTTGCAGCATTGTTTCTCCAACGCTCTTTAAGAGACATTGCGTAGCACTGTAAAGCTTCTCTTGGTCTGCCTTCTTGTTCCACACACTTTCCGAGAAGATTTAGAGCTGTTTCACGGTGTCCAAGGTTTGGTTCCTTGTAAATAGTTCTAAGAAGTTTGAGGAGGGCAGCATGTTTGTCTCCATGTCTCCAAATCTGATTGTTTTTACCTTGTTATTGCAGAAAGTAGAGGTAAGGAGGGAATCCACCAACCAGCAAAGAAAATCCATCCAGTCATTGTCTGTTGCTGTACGGAATGCATTGGTCCTCTTGGGGTAGATCTAAAACATTTTCAAATTTAAGTTCAATTTGGTACACAGTGCATTTCGCATTGCCTGAAATCTAACACATGAGGCTTGTTTTGCATACTGTATGGCATCTTCCATATGATTTTCAGATATTGCAATTGAACCCTGGTCTCAGTGGTGTCGCACCATGTATACAGCACATACAGACAGGCTCAACAAATTTGTAGATCATAGCCCTCTTTCAATCTCACATAGAAACTAGATCAGCTTTTGTATTTCTTGTTTACAATATAAGATTGAAGCTAGTTTCAATTTACTGGATTTCAAAATGGTTTTTTCATCCAAAAAAAAGATGATTTTGAGGCATTTAAAGAAAGGGGTTGTTTTTTTTATGTTTTAAATTGGGGAAAACCCGGCAGGGTCCGTGGTTTTGAGAACCCTTTGGCAGACAAAGGAAGGGGTGTATCCTGTCCCAGGGTTTTAAATTCTAGTATCCCAAAAAAGTCCCCTTTTAAACCCTTTCCAGTTCTTCAAGGGGTGCTTTTGGGGAAATTGGGAAAAGGGTGAAAAAAAGGGAGGAAGGGAAAAATTTTTCAGTATTTGTCCTGAAAAATTTTGTCAAAGTCCTTTTTGTAGCGGCCCCGGACTTTAAATTATAAAACTTAAGGGGAGAGGCCCGTTCCCAAAACCCCTCACAATTTTAAATTTCCAAAAAGCGCCCCTTCCCTTTCCGCTGAAAAATTTGGGTTTATACTTCCCAGGTAAAAGGTTTGGGCCTTTAGGTGAAATCTTCACCCCTCATTCAAATTTGTTCCTGGGAAATGATAAAATGTGGACAATTTTCAAATTTCTGACACTTGTGTGCAAACGCTGTAAAACAAACGATAGGCAAGAAAGTAAAGTTATTTTCTTTCCAGATAATTATAATGTGAATTGGCAACACAGTGGAAGAGTACAGTTTTGCACATGTAACTGGAAAATTACATCTTTATAACTGTGGATTCTATGAAAGTTTTATAATTCATTTTTATCAAGACATAACAGTTCTAAGCTGTGTAATATTTAAATTTTTGAACATAAGGCATCCTTTCAGCTTAAAGCTGTTGGATATTCTCATTCTACTTCCTCATGACACTCCTTCTAACATCCAACAGGAACAAGAAAACATTCCATTCTGCTGGCAGTATTGCCAACATTTTCAGCAGAGGGCCAACTGACTTTCATCTTGTTTTGATCCAACCAATGTTCAGCTTGTTGTGGCCAAGTTTTACACTGAAGAGTAAACACATGGTCCATATCATAGTAACCAGGTTGACCTTGACTTGAACTTGCAGGCCATGTCTAATTTCCCCTTCTTGGGAAAAATTTAAAATTCCAGAATTTTTAAAAAGAACTTTTCCTGTTCTGTCTTTTAAAAAGATTTCATTAGTTTCCATTGTAGCAGGTACAGGTGCATCTGATCTCATAAATTGAAGAAAGCAATGCCCAGGCATTACTGAATTATCTTGAATCATCAATAGATTCAATCCACCAGGTATCCAGTCACTCCAGTCTTGTATAACAGTAATACCATTAAAACAGTAAAACTACATCAAGGTCTGAGCAAAGCTCCAATGTTGTTGTACCTTCAGATGTACTGCCAAAAAAGTAAAACAGACCACTGCCATCATTAACTTTACTATTGAGGCTTGCCACAGATTCCCGCAGTAGAAGTGATTTTCTCCTCTTCAGTATTATTTTCTCATTCACTCCAATATCAGCCAGAACTTCTGACAGTACTGAAGATACAGACTGTGTGTAATTTGGTGCCTGGTACGTCATTCTGAAAATACATTGTAAACTATTTTGCCTAAAGTTAAAACTGACTTTTCTGAAAATAGTTTTTAAAAATCTTTATATTAGCTTCATTTTTAATCTAGGTATATCATACGATATTGTTAGATGATATTGTTAAACGTGTTCAATTTTAAGCCCATTTATTCTTATTTGTTTATGACAGTATTATTCTACATTCTTGAATTAAAACTGAGCTATAAAGGTATTAAGCAACACGCCTGCAGATAGTTAAAATAAAAAAGGGCACTACATGTAGCGTACACACCGTATATATCAAATTTATACAAGGTATGTAACTCGACGTAGCAAATTCAACCGAAACGGTCAACATTTTCCTCTCGCATTTTTTAATACGACATATAAGACATATTTTCATACTTAAACGTGCAAACATAGCACAATCGATATATCTTTCAGTAACCGTTAAAAATATTGAGCCATCTATCTTCATTTACGATAAATTAATTATCAAACGTAAAAATTGTCCTTAAAATTGCGAGGTCGACATGTTTTGTGCCACGGAAATTTCCAAAATTACCATGAGTAAACATACATTAAGCTGCTTGCCGTTCGTAAGAAAGTATATATTTTATATAGTAAACGGGTGCTGGATAGTAATTTTGTTCTTGATGATCAAGGGGTGATAATTTTATGATAAATTGACCATTATTGGCATGGCAAATGTGCCGTACGCCTGTGGCAAAAACCAAGAGGTACTGAAAGTACAAAGCAAACACGTTGAAGTGGGATTTCACAAAGAAAACTGTTCAAAGGTTTCCAAACTGAGCTATAACTACAATTTCAGTTGAAAGAAAATATTTACCTCCTTGTAAAACTGAAAAAAAATCTAATGAAATTGTTCAAATAATGTCAAAATTACCTTTGTATATCAAAGTATTACCAATCCAGATTGCAAGCAAACATTAATAGTCAGAACAAAGATAAAGGTCCGGAAATCCATAGTGAAACTGAAAGTTTCAGCGATAAATAAAACCTTGAACTACAACTTGAAAACAAACACGTTTTTTTTGCTTATGCAAACTTACCTGGATGACTAATACCATAGTGTATAATCGGTAACGAATGTAAAGTTACCTGGATGACAAATACCACAGTGTATAATCGGTAACGAATGTAAAGTTACCTGGATGACAAATACCACAGTGTATAATCGGTATAACGAATGTAAAGTTACCTGGATGACAAATACCACAGTGTATAATCGGTAACGAATGTAAAGTTACCTGGATGACAAATACCACAGTGTATAATCGGTAACGAATGTGAAAATTATAACGGCGTATAGCCGAAACAAGTACCACACATAGTCAATCAAATTGAGAGAAATGAGCACATGATTTCTAACACATTATATTTCAAACCTAAGTACATTTACAAGAAAGTAATTAATTATATGTTGAAATGAATATTGAATTAAACATATACTTATATGTCAATTAATGTTTTTATTGATATATATTTGTTAAATATAAAAAAATGGATATTTAAGAAAAGAAAAACCTGCGTTCATTATGAAAATTGATTATAAATTAAAGAACGCATATCTTAAACATTTGTTACACCTTTAATTTAAACAAGCCAATCATCTTGGGATTGTTGTAGAAATATTTAATTGACCCCGAAATATTCCTTTTATTATCTGAATATCTGAGAATGTGAGCAGATTTCAAAACAAGGCGGCAATTAAGCATATGATTGTTCACAATTTAATGTGAGCGATAAATGCCACTTTAAAAGATTTAAAAACACGAGTATGCACAGCTTAAAACACATACATAATATAGTATAAAAACAAACGAACATTAACAAAATCATAAGCATGCAAGCTCCTCTTTGTACATTCTGTTTTAGACGTATCTAAAGGAATTCTCATGCTGTAACATGTGACAAGTGTCAAAGATGACACCATATTAAATGTGCAACCACAGGTATGATTTGCTTAAAATGAAGTATGATAAAAAACAATTGTCAAAATGATAAAATAATAATGCGTTTTTAATATATATTGTTTGCTTCTGAGCTTCATACATAAACTACTTAAAACAAAAAATATTATTAATAAAAGGACATGTTTTGTTTGGAGTTAAAACATACTTTTTTGTTAAAACATACTACTTATTCAGGTATCTCCGAGCAAAAAGAGAGAAATAAAGAATTCCTTAAGAAAGCCTAACAAGACTACGATGAAGCCGTATCAAATCTTGACCTTCGTTTCATTTGTGTTATTTGCCGTTTCGAGGACGAGTCTATGGAAACTAAGAGGAATCGACGATAGTGAAAATTAAGCGATCTTTTCGTGGCAAAAACACTCTGTAACTCAACTGTCTCCATGTCAGAAGAAGTTAGTGATTACGTTCGCGAAAACGACACTGATACATTTGACGTTTCAAGACCAGAGAGAGATATTAAACTTGACTTATTAGAGAGTGATATTCTCGATGATACAACTGTTGAGATACTGTCAATCTCGGAATTGACTTACCAAGTAATAGCGAAGGGTACAGAAACAGGGAAGCCGAACATTTTGTTAACACTCTGGATGCTACATTTTTGATCCAAATATCCTCGAAATTGGTCAGAAAGATTGTTTTCATGATTTCTAGGTAAATTCGAATATGGGTCATCTTTGGTTAAATAAATTTTGCCGCAGGGATCTGAATTTTGCATGCGACACTACACCTAACAATGGTGAACAATTCATTATTGTGCCAAGTTATATTAAAATCACTCTATGTAGAAGTTTTTAATGACCTCTAAGTGTGACCTTGACCTTTGACATAGAGACCTGGTTCATGCACGTGACACCTTCTCATAGTTGTGAACATTTCTATGAAGTTTCATTAAAATTCCTCCATGCGTGTAAAAGATAAGATACGGACAGAATTAAATGGCGCGCCCGTCCGCCAGGAGGGAACTATAATACGACCCGTTTTTCAAACGGGCTTAGAATTGAGTAGAGTAAGGGTGAAAGAACTGGTCCAAATTCTACAAGAATTTTCAAATTCTATGTGACGACTTGGACAGTAAAATAGGAACATGTAATTATATCAAACCTTTTATAAAGTCGTTGAGACTGACCATCTTGGGGCTATACAGTATATTCCACCAGGCTTTAGATATTTTATATGAAGAACTATCCAGCTAGCTTTTCAAGCATAAGGTTTCCCTTGTTAAGCTTGAATGTTGCCCTGTGGCCAGAGATTAGAATTTGACTATAAATAAGTTTTGATTAACGTAACCCTTCCCTCCTGAAACAGAACAGGTCAAAGTAGAGCTTGAAGCTATTGTTCTTTTCATTTTTAATTATCTTTCATGCATACTTTTTGTCTGACTGTATTGTAAAAATAGAACTTTAAACTAAATTGATCTCATTTAAGGTAAGTGTGGTGTTTAAGATCCATTACTTTTTTATATAGTTATGGAGTTATTGCCCTCTTATTGCGCATACTTTAATTCAGGAGTATTATTTGAAGTCAAAATGATTTGCACCAGGATAGTGACTATTAATTTCAGCAGATTGGTTTTCAATTTCAACAAATAGCAATGACAAAACAATAAATGCCAATGACAAAATTTATACAGAGTATGAAATAGTCTTGAAAAATAGGTCAAAGTCACAGTGTGTTATTCTTACAAGTTTTTCACAACACTCATTTTTATACTATCCCATTTCATAACCAGTGCATTTGTATTTTACACTATGGATAAAATTTTAATTAAATGATATTCATTGAAGCAGGTGCATAATGATCGTAGAAAGATGAGTTAAATCCTTGCAAAAAAATAAATACATAAAACGTCCCCCTTAAATGAGACAAAAATGTTCATATAGACACATGAACGAAGACTATACAGTTACAGTATGTACTATAGATTTGTGTAGGGAAGCAACATGTAATATTGACTTTTTAACATGAGAATTGAAAACTTGAATAAATAAATTCACTCTGAATTACTACTTGATATTTTATTTTTGCGACTTAGAAATAAATAGTGTTTCATTTTGACAAAGTGTAATATTTGAAATATCAAAATTTGCAGTTATATTTACTGATATCTGGGTTATTCAATGAGGGTGTTGCATTTTATTTAGCCCTTGAACTGCAGAATTTGTGAAATGGATATGCCCTGCCTTCTTTGAATTTAAAACAGTCAATTCAAGTTTTTGAATTATCAATATACTGTAGGCTACACACAATACAGAGCCTGGTCTGACTGCAGATTTCACCGTTTGCCTGGTTTTATACTGGTGGAAAAGGCCGTACACCTGAGATTCCAGCAAGTTGGGGTTAGATCACAAAAACCAACAACAACAACATTACAAACAAAATGATGAAAGGATTAATTGTAACTAAAATAGTTTGTCTTTTACTGCCTGGTAATTTAGCTGCCAATAAAAAAAGGTACAGAGTCACTTTAAATGTAATATTTGTTAAAGATTTCACCAAATAGTTTAATTATAAAACACATATTTTATGTAAGTTTTTTTTTCAACCTTATCAATTATTCTATGCCCTTGCATTTACTAATTCAGACATTACAGTACAAATGTGAATCTTTGCAGCATTGTTTCTCCACCGTTCTTTAAGAGACATTGTGTAGCACATTAAAGCTTCTCTCGCTCTGCCTTCTTGTTCCACACACTTTCCTAGAAGATTAAGAGCTGTTTCCCGGTGTCCCAGGTTTGGCTCCTTGTAAATGGTTCTAAGAAGTTTGAAGAGGGCGGTATGTTTGTCTTCATATCTCCCAAGTTGATTGTTTACCTTATATTGCAGAAAGAAGAGGTAAGGAAGGGAATCAACCACAGCAAAATTCATCCAGTCATCGACTATTTCTCTACGGAATGCACTGTCCTCTTGGGTAGATCTAAACATTTCAAATTTAAGTTCATTTGGTACACAGTGCATTTCACATGCCTGGAATCTAACACATGAGGCTGTAGCATACTGTATGGCATCTTCATAATGATTTTCAGATATTGCATTGAACCCTGGTCTCAGTGGTGTCGCACCATGTATACAGCACATACAGACAGGCTCAACAATTTGTAGATCATAGCCTCTTTCAATCTCACATAGAACTAGATCAGCTGTTTGTATTTCTTGTGCACAATATAAGATTGAAGCTAATTTCAATTTACTTGATGCAACATCGGTATTCAGTCCAAATAAGATGATTTTGAGAGCATCTGATGATACAGTGTTGTTTTTATTTATGTTCATCGAAGCAAGGACAGACCCAAGTGCTGTGCAGAACCATTGTGCCAGACAAAGGAAGGGTGTCGTATCCTGTCCCTCATGTTTAGTTCTGAGTATCCTTAAAATAGTGCTCTTTAATCCTTGCACAGCTTCTTCAGGAGTGCTATATTTGTGAATTGAAATGCTGAATAAAGTAGCAGCAAAATTTATCAGTATTTGTCCTGAAATTATGTCACATGTCTTCTTGTAGCGGCCTGGACTTAAGTTATAAAACTTAAGGTAGAGCCTGTTACCAAGACCATCACATTTAATTCCAAGAAGCGCCACTCCTTCCCAGCTGATAATTTGGTTGAGTACTTCCAGGATAAAAGGTTTGACTGCAGGTGAAATCTTCCCCCTCATCAAATTGTTCCCTGGTATGATAAAATGTGGACAATTTTCATTACTGACACTGGCGTGCAAGCGTTGCAAACACAACGATAGGCAAGAAAGTAAGTTATTTTCTTTCCAGATATTATAATGTGAATTGGCAACACAGTGGAAGAGTACAGTTTTACACATGTAGCTGGAAATCACATCTTTATACTGAGGATCTATGAATGTTTTTATAATCATTTTCATCAAGACATAACATCTAAGCTGTGTAATATTTAAATTGAACATAAGACACCTTTCAGCTAAAGCTGTTGATATTCTCCATTCTACATCCTCATTGGCACTACCTCTACATCCAACAGGAACAAGAAAGCATCCAGAATTGCTGCAGTATTGCATCATTTCAGCAGAGGGCCACTGACCTTCACCTTGTTGATCCAACCAATGTTCAGCTTGTTGTGGCCAAGTTTTACACTGAAGAGTAAACACATGGTCCATATCATAGTAACCAGGTTGTCCTTGACTTGAACTTGCAGGGCCATGTCTAATTTCACCTTCTTGGGAAAAATTTAATATTCCAGAATTTTTTAAAAGAGCTTTTCCTGTTCTGTCTTTGAAAAGGGTTTCATTAGTTTCACTTGTAACAGGTACAGGTGCATCTGATCTTATGAATTGAAGAAAGCAATATCCAGGTAATACTGAATTACCTTGAATCATTAATAGACTAAGTCCACCAGGTATCCAGTCACTCAAGTCTTGTATAACAGTAATACCATTAAAACAGTAAACTACATCAAGGTCTGAGCAAAGCTCCAATGTTGTTGTACCTTCAGATCTGCTGCCAAAAAAGTAAAACAGACCACTGCCATCATTAACTTTACTATTGAGGCTTGCCACAGATTCCCTCAGTAGAAGTGATTTTCTCCTCTTCAGTATTATTTTCTCATTCATTCCAATATCAGCCAGAACTTCTGACAGTATTGAAGATACAGACTGTGTGTAATTTGGTGCCTGGTACGTCATTCTGAAAATAAATATTTGGCTTTTGTTTGTACAGACTTGTATGAAAACAGTTTTTAAAAAGAGCCACTGAAGTTCGGGTGCAATGCACTATTGTTTTGTTTTTTTTGCTTTTTCTAAAAGCAAACAAATAAATGTTGAAACAAATCAGAAAAAAGAAATTTAAAGAAGAAAAATATTTTTTCCTTTTTCAAAATTTCAATAGGTAGGTTTAGTCACACTTGTTGTTTTGTCCAAATGTTCACTGATCAATTTTTTATCTTAAGCTTGTATATGCTCAAAATTTCATAGCCAAGAAAGGAGGTCCCATTGTCAAAATCTAGGTCAGCTGATATCAAAGTTCAATTTTACATCTTAAACTGTGCACATGGTCTATACATCAAAGGACAAGAAAGTAAGTCAATTCGTTGAATTATCTAGGTCACTTCATCAAAACCTAGGTTTGCTGATATTTACATCTTAAACTGTGCAAATGGTCCAAATGTCATAGCTAATAAGGAAATGAACAGAACAATGTTGATGAGATGCACAACAAGACATGGTATTTATCATTACCCTAAAGATTTGATGAAATTGCACCAGTAGTTTCAGTAAACTTCATTGTAGCTGGCAACACAGAACACACCTTTTAAATTCAAGGGCCATAACTCCGCAAAAAATCATTCAAGCAGAACAACCGGTAATTTGCACAAGAACTTGACCTATCAATATATCCTGTAAGGTTTTTTTGAAATTGCATAAGTTGTATAAGAGGAGTAGTCCGGACAAACTGAAAAAATCAAAATAATTAAAGGGCCATAACTACGACAAAAATTATTGAACCATAAAAACCCGATGATATGCACAACTAGACTTGGATAATCATTCCTATTAAGTTTGGATAAAATTGATGGTGTGTCTAAATATGAAGTTAATCCATTTATAAATAACAGTTATACCCAGCTACAGGACAAAAAAGAGAATTTCATTAATTTGACCGTGACGGTCAAGTTCAATTAAATATATTTGTTTGGTAACAAGTCTTGTTTTGTCAACGTATACATATAATCCGTACATAAATGACAAAATTGATGGTCAATGTCATTTAAATCTCAAGGTCAGTGACAGTTCAACCTAAAAGAAGGTCTTGTCCAAGTAATCAAAAGGTTGTTGTATCCAATGATGATGATAACCCATTGATTATTACCAAGTAACCGTTGATTTTAGCAAAATTTCTTATACATGAATGTCTTATCATAAAGAATGTATTGTCATAATATAATATCAATCCATTCATTAATTACAAAAAATTTTTAGATTTTTGTGAAGATGAAAAATTTAATAATTTGACCTTTAAAACTCGGGGGATTTATGAGTGAAGGTAAGGGGTTTCGGGTTTTTAAAAAATTTTTTTTGATGACATCCATCAGGTGGGGTGGGGTGGAGTATTACAGTATAGAATACATATACATGGACATTAAAAACAACATATACGTAAAAATTTACATGCATGAGAATAAATAAACATGCACACGAGCACCAAGGATAGCACAAATATACTCTTATTTCCATTGCACATGGTCCCCTGTGAAATTTAATTCATTGAACACATTCTAGACTAGAATTACAACATTGTATCACACTATTCAAAGTAAAACAGAGTAAATTTACTATAAAGCAAATAACAAAATTAACAAGCAATTATCATAGTATTGAAAGCAATCCATAAGTCCCCTACTGGATAGAACCCCAGCAACATTCTGAAGGGCCATTGGCCATTCACTAATGTTTCAATTTTTCTTTTTTTAAGAAAATTTCTTGGAAATGTTCTTTAAAAGTGATCACAGGAAACAGTTCTTATGAACAGACAGACTGAATGACACTCTAAAAATAATTTTTTAAACATCCCTGTTACCAAAATATATATAACATTTTTAAAAGCAAAATTCTTAAAGAGGAGATAACTCTTGAAATAAAGGTCCAATATGTCATACATGATCTGAGTGTAACAAAGAACAATTAGTAACGAAGCTGTTCATAATGAATGTTTATTTTGAATTCGAAGTAAAAGAAAGTTAAAAGAATGAATGAAAATAGTTCAAAGTTTAAGTAAAAATGACACAAATTCTGAAGTAAATCCTATAAATAATGAACAAGTTGGAAGTTCAAGGGGGACATAATTCTGGAAATAGTCTCGCTAGAGTATTGAACCTTTTCACAAATGATTTGAGTGTAATAAAAAATATATATGAAGTTTGAAGAAGATACATTAAGAAATAAAGAAGTTATTAAAAAAACAAACTTTTTTCAGGTAAGTTCAAGGGAGGCAATTCTGATATTTTTTGTGCTAAAGTTCAAACCTTGTCACATATGTTGTGATTGATGACCAGAAACTTATGTTTGAAGTTTGAAATAAATACGTCATAGTGAAGAAGCCTAAAAACTAGAATCAGAAATCTTGACGATGTTGCCAACTTTTGACAGCTCTCAATATACTCCATATAGTCAAGATTAAACTGATGTGTATAATTCATTTCCATACTACCATCTATCCATATTTTAAGTTTCATAAAAATTTCAGCTTTTTTTGACAAATCACAAAATATTGTTACATGTGCCATGCTTTAAGCCTATTTGTTGCCATGACAACCATTTTCTTTAAAATAGGAAGAAAAGAAAATTAAAGCACATAAGGCGCTGAATTTGTTTGGGCCTCAGAATGGTGAAGGTTGTGAGATTATAAAACAATTTGTTTTTGTCTAGTGCCACCAATGCTTTCCAGCGTTTTAATTGTAGTAAACTGGCTATAAGACTAATTGCAACACTAATATTCAATTCAATGTTTATTTGACTTAAAAAAAATTGAAAAAAAAAATGTGTTGCCTTAATTGGGATATGAACTCCAGACCTCTCGCTTCCTAAGCGAGCGCGCAAACCCCTCGACCTAGGTGAAGTTATATGTTAACGGCCTGAAGAAAACCATATTATTCGAAATAAAGGTTTGTATCCCTTATTATTTCGACACTAACTGTTGTTTAACACAGATGTAATTAATCATTCATGGAGCTTACTATAAGCATGTATATCTATAAAGAATAGAACAATATTAGAAATCTTTGACCATTCGGGAACTATTTTGCTTGAAAATTAATGCGTCTGTCATTTGACCACCTTTACGCAGTGATCTCTCCTGAAATTTTCGGCGTTAGTGTACATATAAAGGGAAGTAACCGCTTCAAAAAAGCGGACTACTTTCGGCATTTGCAATTGACAGCATCAGAGTCTGAAATTTCGCTACCATTATTTGTTTGGTCTAACGACCCAAACAAATAAAAAGACATGCATAATCTCCATACTGCCATCTATCCATATTTCGAGTTTCATAAAAATATTTTCAGTACTTTTTGCAATATCACTAAGATCCAGTTTTATGTGATAAATTTGCCATATTTTCAGTCTATTTGTTGTCATAGCAACCAGAATTTTCAAGATAGAAAAAAAAGAAGACAAGCATAATATCTCCATACTGCCATCTACCCATATTTCAAGTTTCATAAAAATATTTCCAGTACTTTTTTGCCTTATCACTAGATCCATTTAATGTGTATAATTTGCCATATTTTCAGTCTGTTCGTGCCCTAGCAACCAGAATTTTCAACATAGGAAGAACAGAAAAAGACGTGCATAATCTCCATACTGCCATCTATCCATATATCAAGTTTCATAAAAATATTTTCAGTACTTTTTGCGTTATCGCGGGATCCAGTTTTGTTGACTGACTGACGGACAGACAGACGGACGGAGGTTAAACTTAAAGTCCCCCCCGGTAAACCGGTAGGGGACTAAGTATCAGCTAAGTATATACATAACAAAGTTAAAGTCAGTTATAGTTAAGACATTAATATATAAACATTTGAGGTCAAGGTCATTTTTTAGATGAAGGTCAAGGTCTGTCCTTTTTATCCTTTAAAGCTTTGGGGACGGCAACGGCAACGCCGATATGACGGCATGTTAACAATCCCTATATTTTTTTCTTTGCTAAAATGTTTGTATAGGAAGATAGAATTTAATTTTAGGTATATCATACAATATTGTGAGGTATGTTCAACTTTAACCAGTTGATTATTTTAGTAAATGTCGGCCTTATTCTACATTCTTGCATTAAAAGATTAGGCCACACGCCTCCAGATGGTAAAACGAAAAAGGGAGCCACATGTGTTGTAAACGTTCGTCAGTGTTAAAAAAGGGCAACCACTATCAATTACCTTTTTTTATATAAATGCCACAAATTATAAAGGGACATAACTCCTACTAAATTGCCTATAGGGTGTTGTAATTTGTCGTACACATTTTTCTTATCATGAAAATTAAGTTATACAAGTTGTTTCAAGTTTATAGCTTTGATAGTTTTAAAATTATCCTGCTAAAAGTAAGCTATTATAACAAACAAGAAGTAAATAATGGGCATATTAACTATAAAGATATACAGTATAGCTTTCAGAATGATGTTGTTTTGTTTTCAACGTTGTCATGACATGACAAGTATTTCAAGTTTCATGAGGATCATTCTACTATATAAGTTTTATTGACAAGAATTCTATGTAAAAATGGGCAAAAGCTCTTAAGAATAATACACCTTGTCTTCATTATAGTTTTTGCACGATGACGAAGAGCGATCATTATAGCTAGACTTTTTATTTGAAGCAGACGACCTAAAATAAAATAAAATTTCTAGTAAACGGTAAAGCTGCTTTTTAAATTCACCGTCTTCAAATTTGTTTCCTTGCTTCTTCAGATGTTAATGCACGAAAAAAGATGCATAGACACTAAGCTTTTATTTATTTGGTTATTCAGCTATTCTAATTATGATACATTTTGCATTAAATTTTCATTTTGCTCTGTGTCATTATGTCATTATTTATTCCCTGCGGTCTGGAGACCGCAGGGTATTGGTACGCGTTTAACTTTTGAGGCATGGAGGAGCACGTGACCTGTTTTCGGTACATGGAGGAGCATGTGATCTGTAAACCGTACATGATTGGTTAATTGACCTTTTCGAAAACCTAGCTAAATACCGTTTGCCGGTACGTTACGGATTCACCTGTGGTCTCAACCCGGTACGGAATTAGACCGAACCCATTGTAGTCTAGAAAGTTGTTCTTTAAAATTATGAAATGGCCCAATTTAAGTCATCACTAGTTAGATTGGTCATAATTAAAGTGTATTTATTGCATGTGTGTAGTTTTTGTGTGTTATATGATGACTTTAAAAGTTGTTTTTTGTGTATTCTCCAGGAACTCATTTGTTGGTGGAAGGATTAAAGATGTACTACCCACCAGCTGTCAGGAGTTTTTAATGTGGTGAATTTAAACAGTGTTACAACGAATGAAGATTTCTGAAAAAAGTAGATGGCTAACCTATTATATTTTGGGCATCATTTGACTTAGATAGTGTTAATGTTTAAAGTTAAAGACAGTATATAATTCATCGAGAACAGTGGAGTCCAGAATTAAACCTCAAATTTGACTGATTTACTATAGAAATAATAGTACGAAAATTCACAGGGCCGAGTCCAAGATAAGAAATGTCAAAAGGGGAACTGGTTGATGGATATGGATGAAACTTTGCATCAGTGTTGTGTTTATGAATAGAAGTCAGGAAAATAAAGGATTACTGACAGGTTTGAACATTTTAAATTTTATTTCAAATTTTAAATTTTGACATTTTAAATTGGGACATATGTTGTTGTTGTTATCTCCCCTTCAAATGTAGATGTCTGCTACTGTGTCAGTAAAGCAGGGAGAAGGGTACAGAGCTTTTGCATGAAAAGATTAACCACATTTTATTGAATTAAAACTGTAAAAATAAATTTAGAATTAAAAAATGAAATTTAAATTTTGTAAAAGCAGTTTATAAATTGATAAATTTTATTTTTGCCCCCTGTGTTAAGCAATATACTATAAATTAATCTAGCTTATTTTTATAAGATTTATATTAGATAATGATAATTTTTAGAGAAATGCATCTTAAATTATGGATAAATTATGCATTGAAGGAATTGGGGAGTGTGTGGTTTCAGATTGGTTACATTGTAAAAAAAAGTGATTGGCAAGCTCATTCCAGAGATCTCTAAGGGGCCCAAGATTCACCGGCCATGGAATTCGAAACAAGCACCATAGTAGCCTATTGCTCATATGGACCACACATTATATGTTTTGATGTTTCAGCAAAGGATTGATGCTGTAGTAATCAGTATGTAAATATTCACTATTGTCCTGTATTTAAATGAAGAAGAACTTACAATTGAACAGGACAAATGTGATTTATATTTTGGAAATATAGGCATTTTCAGTGTAGTGAAACTTGATGTTTTGCTGTGTTTTGCAGAATGTATTTGCTAGTAATATATACACATAAAAGATTTTCTAGTCATTAAACAGTGTATTTTATGGATAATTGGCTCATTTAGAATAACACAGTTGATATGATTGTTGTTGTTGTTGTAGCTGCTACAGCAGTTAAATTAGGTTAGGTTTATAATGTCTAAACTGCTATTTTCATGCAGGCATGCATTTTTCAGCACACAATATTTATATAAGCTCTCCTGTGTGAATTAGCAAATCTAGCCATTTATTAATTAAGAACATTATTTTCTTCTTTTTCAGATATTAGAATTACAGCATAAAATGCCCCTTATAATTTTCCTTAGGGGCATGTACTAGTGTTGCATATCTTTTCAGACCATGCAGTTACCAAAGCCCTGGGTTTGAGTATATGAATCTTACCTTATCCTGGTAAAGATCTATGGAAGGACTCCTTCAGCTCTGTTTGGGCAGCAGCTTTTGTCAGGACACAATTGAGAAGGTAATAACTTATGTCTAGTTTGAAACTTCAAGCTATTGACGGTAGCGCCTCCCAATGCTCGGACAATATTTGGTAGTTATTTTGATGTATTTCAGGAGAAAATTTCTCTAAATTCTGACTATATTAAGACTTCTCAATGATTTAAAGTGGGAGACGTATGTGTCATCTTTTTTAAAGCCTTAATTTGTGTGAGAGTTGGCTAATCTTACTTTGTCAGTAGACATAGCCATGGTGATATGGTAACCTCTTGCTAACCTTAAGATTACCTCTGTTTGTCTTTATTGATATCTTAAGCAAACAATGTACGGGTGTGTATGTTGGTTCTTTACTTTATTTACCATGGTATATAGGTAAAAACCATAATCAGTAAGTTTTTATTACAATATTGAAGGAAAAAGTTATGAAAAAAGCACATTTAATTGTGATTACTTGTATTTTAACCCAAAATTTCATGCTCTCATTTAAAGAAATTGAGTTTCTATTACAATTTTTAAGCAATAAAAACTTATTCTTTCATAAAAGTAACAGTATGACATTAGCCGGTAACATTAAACTTTATTCAAAGAAAATCCATTTACAGAATCAAAAGATATGACAGAATTTGTAATATAAATTTTTGCGTAAAATTCTATTGGCCGAGCCTGACTTTTCGCATGAAGGTTCATATTTAAGAAATTGTACCGCATTAATGTAATTTTGTTAGAGACATGTCAAACCTATATGACTGTATTTTGTATAACACTAAATTACTAGGAAATGAGTATAAAGTTTGGCTTAACTTAAATTTTGGATTCATTTAGGTCTCAACCCGGTACGGAATTAGACCGAACCCATTGTAGTCTAGAAAGTAGTTCTTTTAAAATTATGAAATGGCCCCAATTTAAGTCATCTCTAGTTAGATTGGTCATAATTAAAGTGTATTTATTGCATGTGTGTAGTTTTTGTGTGTTATATGATGACTTTAAATGTTGTTTTTTGTGTATTCTCCAGGAACTCATTTGTTGGTGGAAGGATTAAAGATGTACTACCCACCAGCTGTCAGGAGTTTTTAATGTGGTGAATTTAAACAGTGTTACAACAGAATGAAGATTTCTGAAAAAAGTAGATGGCTAACCTATTATATTTTGGGCATCATTTGACTTAGATAGTGTTAATGTTTAAAGTTGAAGACAGTATATAATTCATCAAGAACAGTGGAATCCAGAATTAAACCTCAAATTTGACTGATTTACTATAGAACTAATAGTACGAAAATTCACAGGGCCGAGTCCCTGTAGGGAATTAGTCCGAATTACACATAATTAAGAACTTGATATTTCTAATTTTCTATAATTATTTTACCGTTTAAGGTGGAAAAACTTGAATGATGTGTTTGAAAATTATCAATGTTTCTTTAATATCTATCTCAAATTTTACAAACAATAAATTGTTTATACTGAAAATATACAAAATTAAAATATTTCGTAGTGGCATCTGCCATAATAAAATAGAGATATTTTTCTGCGTAAACTTGTGTGTTTACTTTATTTATTTTTTTTGCTCGGAATTATTCATAAAAAAGAGAAGGCCTATTTAATCATTTTCTTAAAAAGAAATAATTGTTTTATGTTCGACCTTCTCCGGTCTTCAACGGTCACCAGTTTCCAAAGACATTCTTCTATTCAATTGTCAACTATATTCCTGATACAAACGTTTATTTATCCCCCCACCCCAAATAATGTTGGAAAAAGTTAAATGAACTATATTTAAATCATTAAAATGTTCACCGCAGGAAACCATTATACTTGTATGACTCTTTGTATGATATATTGTAAAACTGAAGAAAAAAAATGTCTGATTAAAATGTTAAATAATGTTAAAGTTACCTTTTTGTATCAAAGCATTAACATTCCAGATCTACAAGCAAACATAAGTAGACAGCTCAAAGATAAAGGTCCGGAAATCCATAGTGAAACTGAAAGTTCAAGAGATAAATAAAACCTGGAAGTACGAATGGAAACTGAAAGTACAAACAAACACGTTGGTTTATTTTGACTAATACATGTAATACCACCGTGTGTAATAGGTTACGAATGGAAATATTACAACGGTAACACAAAAAAGCCGAAACGAGTACCACACATAGTAAATCAAATTGAAAGAAATGCGCATACAATTGCTAATACATGTTTAAATCATTTCATGAAAGTGTTTTTTTTTTCTTTCAAGATCATTCGATCGCGAATGAGACGACATGGCTAGCGTATTGAAGGCGACTTTTATGTGTGCCATTAGCTTGTGTTGAACAGTTTGAACAGTTTATTGAAAATGCTGGGCCTCTTAGAGGCATGAGTCACATATACAATAATATACATAATATGAAATATCATAGAGTTCCACGAAATATACTAATGAACTGCATGGCAGATATATAAAAACGAAAGTGTTACATTATGAAATAGTTACTAAAATGCTGATATATATTTTTTTACAGAATACTGCAAGTTTTAACAATATACATGTGTACTCTATCTGTGCTATTCATTAACATAGAAAACTTGAAAACAGCATCATCTTAAAAAGTATACATATACATCTTGGTAAGGTATGTCATTTTTGCCGTATGCGCTTATTCAACAAAACATGTATCAATTAAGGCCACGTACGTAAAATGCATTTGTGTCATTCGTGTTTTCGCCCCGCGACCCCCCGCCAAGCGATAAATCGAGAATTAACAATTTAAAACGGCGAGGTCGCGGGACTAGCGAGGGCGCGGGGCGAAGTTTAATAAATAAAAGTTCGCCACCGCGCGGGCTCGGGACGAGATTTAAGAAATAAAACGGCGGGGTCGCGGAGCGAAAACACACTAATTAGCGTTAATTTTCGGCGGGGTCGCGGGGCGAAAACACGAATGGCACAAATCAGCCACCATAGTTTACTCTCGTTTACTTGATTTAGATAACATCTGACACGAATTTTCTTATTTAAATGAACGCCACACTATCGACTTTTGTCGACAAAATCTACCTTAATGCAAATGCAGACATTTGATATTTTCTAATTTTTACGTCACTGATATAAATGTACATGGACATGATTATTCTTTCAAAAGATGACAGCATTCTATATAGTAATTTGAAGGAGCTAAAAATCATTTATCTGATCATAAAATAATTGTGACAAACTATTCCATCTTTTTTTAAAAGATACCCAGTACATTTGTACAATCATTCAACATGCCTACTTTTATAGTGCATTTATACGAAGTCTAGTAGCTTTTTTTCGTAAAATTGTATCAACCAAAGTGTATTCTTTTTTATTTCTGGTTTTGTTTACTTCGAATTTAACTTTGTATAGTCATTAATCGGCGAGGGATGAATAACCAGTATAAAGATATATCCGTTAGTAGCCGACAGCAAATCCCAAATGATTTCTTAATAGGTGGTGATAGACAAATGGCTCTGTACAAAAGTTTTACCAATGATTTTGACATATTTATCATATATAGCCTTACGATGTTGCAGATTGTGTCTGGGCAATACCGTCTGCATGGGTGATTTCATCATTATTTGATGCACATAACCACCTTCAGTAAATGATGTTTATCCTGAAAAAACATGCCACCATGTCTAAGGCCAAAGTTACTGCAAGGGTTTAGGCCTGGTATATTTCTCATTGATTCTTCAGCGCAGTTTTGGATAATGTTTAAATTTCAAAATCATTTGGTTCACACGACCTTCAGAAGAAGTTGATGAATTGCGTCATAGTCCAGCGGGGTATATAACTTAGAGTATTTCCCATAAATGTTAGGTCTGAATGTTTAGGGCCATAAATTTGTGTGTGTGTGTGTGTGTGTGTGTGTGCGTGCGTGCGTGCGTGCATGTGTGCGTGTGCGTGTGTTTTAAGTTATTGGTACACATGTCTAAGATTAGTACAGTATATTTCATGTGCAAGACCTACGTCAATATGTTGAAAGTCCAGGTCCACTTAGATAATTGAACTTATAGTTTATCTTTAATACATCCGTTATCATGGTAAGTGCAGTTTTTACCTGCAACTTATCTCTTTAAGAACCATTACTTTTCTAACATGATATTTACAGTACTTATTTCATTATTATTAAGTTCTTTTTCAATAATGCAGCATGGGATTTTATTGAAAGCTATTTATGAACACCGTCTGTAAAATTTAATAAGTCCGATTCCAACAAAATTTGGGAGATTTTGTTTTTTGGTGAAAGACTTTCAAAGTTTTTCAAGGGATATAATTCCATGCATAAATCAAGTCGTCAATGCAAGTAAAAGAAGTAATAGGAAAGCCTAATCATGGCTTTTGGGGCCCTATTGAACTTGTCTCGGGGGCACATAAGTTTATATCAGATATTTTGGGACATTTTTAAAACATCTTCAGAACTGCATGGGGTTTGATTGGTGCATTACATTAAGAACCTCTAAGACATGTGTTCAAATCTTGGTCCCTGATCTCGCTACTGAAGCATATATTTTTATGATTAAGAGATTTGTAGAGAAAACTTCAAAAGAAAAACTCCATCTACATAATATCTGCAGAATAACCTTATAGACCTAATTTACTCGAATCATGACTCACTTTTTCGAATTGGGGCTGACATTGGGGGACATATTAGCTCACCTGACGAAAAGTGCTTAAAATCACTCTGCATCCGTCGTGCACCGTTAATGGCGCCAAACATTTTCTTAAAACAGCATCGCCTCCTATACCAATTGGGCTATTTATTTTTAAAACTGAGAAGGAATGACCCCGGCATGAATCTCTTTCAGAATTCATTTATATACAGAACTCCGGTTGACATGGTAACCGAAAGAAAAACATTCTTCTCTGAAACCTTGAGTTAGAGCTGAGATATTTGGTGTGAAACGTTCAAATTAAATGGGTCGTAATATGCCATTTGCAAAAAAAGAAGAAATTTTCCTTGAATCTATGAAAGCTTAAGCAGATGACATTGGCACGAAGCTTTGCCCAACGAACCTCTATCGAGTTTGTTCAAATTATAGCCCTATTTGGTCTAAATTGGTCCCACATTTTGCTTTTACATGTATGTAAAACATAAAACTTTAACCATGAAGACTTGCAAACTTTGACTTCCTATAATAACAATGGACTTAACTTAGCAACCATTAATTTTCCGTAGCATCCATTGACCTTCCGTAGGAACCAGTTACTGATATAACAACCATTGACTTTGCAAAGAAAGCAGTGGCTTCCTCAGCAGCCAGTGACTTCCATAGCAACCATTGACTTTCCATAGCAAGTTCCGAGTCCCAAAGCAGGCGGTGACTTTCACAACAACCATTTATTTTCCGGAGCAACCAGTGACAAGGGCGTCCGTGGCCGAGTGGTTAAGGTCGTTGACTTCAAACCACTTGCCCCTCACCGCTGTGGGTTCGAATCCCGACAGGGACTTTGGATTCTTTCATGTGATGAAGCTATCCAGCTAGCGTACGGAACGTTGGTGGTTCTACTCAGGTGACCGTTCGTGCCTAAAATAATGCACGGAAGAGTACCTGAGGTCTTCCTTCACCAGTAAAGCTGGAACGTCGCCATATGGCATATACTGTGTCGGTGTGACGTAAAATCCAAACAAACAAACAAAGCAACCAGTGACTGTCAAAGCAACCTTTGACTTTCTAGAAAAAATGGCTTTCCATAATAACCATTTACTTAACTTAGCATCCTGTAATTTTACAAACATTACTATCCTTAGCAACAAGTGGAATTCAAAGCAACCACTGACTTTCTATAGCAACAAATACTCTCCAAAGTAACCATTGCATTTCAATAGCAACCATTGACTTGCACATCATTAATTGTCTTTCTGTTGAATCATATTTCATAGCAATTATTGATTTTAAAAAGTTACTTTCGTAACAACTATTGACTTTTTACATATGAAACAGTCAATTCCACAGACTTTCCATAGCAACTAGTGACTTTCATAGCAACCATTGACTTTCCATAGAAACCAGTGACTTCCAAAGCAACCAATTCTTTACTAAGCAAGCTGTAATTTCTACAATCATTGGCAAACCTGAGCAACCAGTGAAATCTGGCTTTCTTTTACAAAAAGTGATTTCCAAAGACTTCAAAAGCATTTATCTTCTTCTTATTGGAACTATTGTATTTTAACAGCAATTATAGACTTTCCCTAGCAACCACTGACTTTACATGGCAACCAATGGCTTTCCATAGGAACAATTGTATTTCATAACAAACATTGACTTTTCACGGCTAATATTAACTTCATGACAAAAAAAATACATAAAAAAGAGTAGTGACTTCCTTAGTAAGCATTGACTTTATACATGGCAGCCAGTGACTTGCATAAGAAAACATTTATTTCCCATAGCAACGGGTGAATCTATCAGTGACTTTCATAACAACCACTGACTACCAAAGCAATCATTGAATTTGTATAGCAAACAGTGACTTCTATAGTAACTGTTGATTTCCCTTAGCAATAGCATTCAGTGACGTTTTTAAAAATGCACTACTAGTATTCCAGATGTATATATGAACTTTGTGATATCAGTTTGAAGACTAGACTTTATATTTACTTTTCATTCATAGTTTACAATATTAATTGGTCCCTGTCATTAAGAGCCTTTACAATCGTTTGAGCGATATCAGGGTCAACTTTGTCCTCTTCTTTAACAGAGGTATTACAGTGAAAACCTAAACATCTGCTTCTTCAGAACCACATGGCGAAAAACAATATTAATTTTGCCATATATAGAGATGTGTCCTGGAGAAACAAAAAAGTCTCGATCTGGCAACACTTGAATGTTGTATTAGACAAACAGAACAGCTAGATTAATTTTGCCACAGTTAAAATTATTAATCTTAACATGACTTATGATATTTGCCAAAAACAGTAGTATTCGTCTTGGTGTTATAATCATAAGTTTTCTAAACGTTAAAAAAACTTAAGCAAATAAGACAATGACTAACAATTGTGAATATAACAAGATAACAGGAAAAAACCACAAAGGTGAAGTTTTAGTAACTTTTATCGGATAAGCATATATGAATTAACAAGTCTTAATTTTCAATTTATCAGTCTATTATTTTATAGATTATATGCTATTTGAAACTATTTATATACATTGTTTTTTATTCCGTTTTTTCTTTCCAAATATTCTTCATTATATATTTCTTCTTTCAACTGTCAATTTTATATACGTTAACATCATTTACGTATACCAAATAAAGTCTATGATTACTATTACAATACGTTATGGTCATACCCCTATCGTCAATAAGTATGTGTCCATAGCTTAGATCTCCGGACAACTGGTATATATTGTCCTCACAACAAACATAAATGTAGCCTTCATTGTCTACTGTTATTTGTTCTGGTTTTGACATGTATCTATCTCTATAGACTGCGTTAACTTTGCCATCTAATGTCAAAGATGTCACGTTGTTTTCAGTTGGTTCCGTAAGATATATGACTTTTTCATCCGGGCTGATTGCAATACCAGTGCAAATATCCGTAGCACAGCGTGTCGGAAGCGTTTTTACATGGTTTCCACCCATATCAAATATTATCATGTTCTGCTGGTCTATCATAAAGAACTTTCCACTTTTGAAAAGAAATGGACTGATGCAATGATATTTTTTATTTAATTTTATCTCCATATGTTTACTTATCTTACCTGACTGGTCCACTGACAGTAACTGAATTTGGCAATCAGGGCCAGTAATTAACACAGCCAGTTGATCAGTATTTACATTAGTTATTTCCCAAGCTAACCTACATTGTAAGTTAATTTGATCTACTACTTGTGTATTCCGTGTATCAAAAACATAAACTGTTCTGGAATTGCTTTCAAGAAGTGCAAGAAAATGATTTTGAATTATGACCATTCCGTTTATCCAGCTCGCACCAATATCTTCACCAATGTCAATTTTTGATACAAAGTTTGCTTTTCTTAGTCTGCCAATTTCTATCGTATTTTGTTTTTGTTTCGTAGGAGTAAGAAAAAACGGTTGTATTCTACTTTCCTGGCTTAACTTCTCATATTGTTTGTTTATTTTATCGAAGCTTTCTTTTGACTGTTTCATTGTTATAAAAAGTTCACAATTTTGATTCGCTTCCTTTTTTGATCTTATACTGGTTTTTATCCTGGTAAGAACATCATTAATCGAGTCAGCAGTGCCACTAGCAGCTTGTAAAGATTTTCTATTAGATTTGTCAATGTCTCTCATTCGTCTATCCACATCAGCCTCTAATTGATCAAAATATTTGTTTATTTCATTACGTTGTTTTCTTAACTCTGCCTTTCCCTGTTTCGTTATATCATCAGATATATTTGTATTTAATTGAATCTTGCTTATGTATTGATCAATGTATCCAAAGTTGCTTTCCAATTTGCTTAAAAATGTTTTGAATTCTTCACTCGAGTTAAGGTCCTTGGCGATATCAGGTATATGGTCGACATTCTCACACTGACGGTGACTGACAGTTATACAGGCACTACAACCAAGCATGTTACACGATCTACAAAAATATTCCACAATTTTGGTTGGATGGTTGCCACATCTCTCTACACAAACATCATGAGCATGAGATTTCAGTGAATCAAGTGGCATCTGACCCTTATCTTTAAGCACATGGTGTTTAAAAGCTTTGAACCTTGTATGAATTCTGTAACATTCTCCACATAAATATTCCCCACAGTCCACACAGAATCCCTCGGCTTCGATTTGCTTACCACCATCTAGACATGGTTCACAGTAAATATCCCTTAATTCATCAGATGCTGCTACCACAGATCTGCTTAAATCTTTACAGGTTGCCATTTGAAATTTCTATCAAAGTCGATTACCTATAAACCATTGACTTTTTTCTTTTTAAATCCAGATTCCCCTCATTTCCATTAGCGTTTAATAGGAAATTCACAAACATAGTAAATGTTTTATGGTACTTTTATATTTATCCGATTGTAAGAAACACTTTTAAGCGAAGTATTTACTTTGTTAAGGCTCGACAAATAAACCCTCTCCTTAGAAACAATCACAACTTCCTTGTTCTGTTTAGACTGGACTTCTGTTTACTCGCTGTTATCTACGAGAAAGTCCGGGAACCAGACAAGTTTTCATGTTTAAACGTAAAAATGATATATCACGTATAAAATGGTTGTAAATTCATATTATTTCAACGTCTTAAAAGTAATGTACTTGTCAATGTTTTCCAATAATTGTAAACTAAACTTTGGTAAGGGATTTAGGCCATGATTTGATTGAGTTGATACTTTTAACAGATTTGATAGTTTAACAAAAATGGTTTTTACAGAATAATCTGGTTTTATTCAGTAATTAAAAAGTAATTGCCAACTTCCCCATATAACTACTGTAATTAAAACCAACGGTAATAGCTATTACGGTCAAAAATGACTGTAACAGAATATGCTATGCGACCTCCCATCCTTTAGGTTCTGGTACAGTTGACATAGGAGAAAATACTTTTTGAATAATATAAGGATACCAATGTGTGTTTTTTTTTGAAATTGTTGTGAAATAAACAAGACCTGCGACCTTTGAACATATGATCAGATTCATAGGCTGATAATCACTTAATACAATTTGCCCAATGTTGGTTTTTTTTACCGTTGTTAAAAATTAATTGAAGTTTATGTTTATGTGCCTTATGAATTCCAATAACCCTTTTATGAAATTCTGCCTTATATGTAGATTAGATACATTTTTGTTTATCTAGCCAGTCATCCCTGGAACTTTTATGTATACTGTATCAATTTACTTCCGTTGAGTACAGTCTTGATAATAATAATTCAGAATCTCGCAGATTGACGGATTCATGAGGGATCATAATTATGGCACTTTTCCTACATTATCCAGGCGCTTGTGACTGAGAAAAGTCGAGCACGATTTCTATTGACAACTCTTGCTTTAGTATGATTCAGTCTGTTGAGAGTAACCCCAGCAAACACATGACGTTAAAATAACGTCGGATTAATGTTAGATTTTGGTAACGACGTCGGCGACCAAAAAACGACGTAAATCTGACGTTAAAATACCGATGTCTAATAGACGTTTCTTTTTGACGTCGTACTAACGTCAGGTTCTGGTCGGTGTCCTGACGGTAGGAAAAAAAATAACAAAAAATAATCCTTATTCGCTGTTGTAATCATTTAAACTTTTTTTCAAATGTTATTTGGATTACATATGAAGTGTTCTTATATAAATACAGACCAAGATCGCGGCGCTGCAACCTAATAAAACTTATAGGTTGCGCTGTATATAGGCAAGTTACATGTGTTATTCTTATGAAATCTATTTATAGCCACAGATCTGTTTACAAGTTCCAATCATTTAACGTTATAATTTTATCATCTGCGGTACATTATATGTATCAAAATCACGAGTTTTTTAATGGTGCTTTAACATTTAATCATAGTGACAGTAAAGGGAAAGAAAACATAATTAACCTATAATTCGAATCTAAAGTCACGTGGATGGAAATTCAAATTCGTAGGCGTTACGTTTTGGCTGTCGGTCAGGAATCGGGATGCATTGATAAAGTGAATATTATAGATTTTCTTGAACAAAAAGGTCAGTTCAATTTATTTAGATTTATTTCTACTTTGTATTTGATAAATAATTGCATGATTGCAAGCACTCTTAAATTTAATTATCGTTATTTGAACAGCTGAAGTAAAATATCACACAAATTCGCGATAAAGTCTAATAATAAATCTTTTTAAAATTGACATGTTTAACTCTGCTTGTGAAGAGTTTATAATATGCCTTTCAGTACTACCAAAGAGAATGCTTAGTTTTCATATTTTTCTTAAACTGTGATGTTTTTGTCAGTTAAAATCTGAGAATTGAGAATGAATTTGTACTATTTCGAGCATTTCGGACCAAGACGTTTCGGTCCCAAATAACCCAAAACGTTCCGGTCCCAAATAACCCAAGACGTTTAGGTTCCAGACATTTCGGCATTAAATCTTTAATTTAAAACTATGAAATATTGAAGACTTGCGTAACTGTTCTATTTCAAACGTAGAATATATACATTAGTTAGAATATAATTTTCTTTTCAGGTAGTTAAAGTGTTGGACATGCTCTCAAAGGTCCGAGGGACGGAAACACATGAATATGTAAAAAGAAACATATGAAAGTAAGATTTTTGTAAATTCTATTACATACTTTAATCCATACTAAACTGGAGTTTAAAAGCGGCTTTTTAAATGTTCAGTATTTATGTTTACTTTTAATTTTTGTTAAAGCTCTCTATAAAAAGTTGGCAAAATTGTTCATTAAGTTTAGATAACATGAAAACATTTTTTGCTTGTTATTTTTACATGTTTCATAAATTTCTTTTTTTTTCAGTGAAAATGATGTCACACACACGCTATTGGACGCTACAAACGCTACCATATCCTCCGGACAGACGAGGGGTGCTGAAAGAAGGTCATATCTTAAAGAATCACACCTCAAAATTCGTGCTAATTCTCATGGATATCTAAAAGTATAACTTTGTGAAGTAACTAAAAGGCAGCAATTTATACATTACTGACAATTATCAAAGGAGGTCAAAATATGCAAAATGGCACTAATGTTTTAGAAATGCTGTAGAAATATAGTTAAAATACTGAAAATCAGTCATTAATTGTTTGAAACATTATTATCACAATCTTTTAACTTTTCTTAAAATTATAATATTTTCATTAATTTATTTGATAAGGCAAACTTTGATAGAAATATGCATACATTGTTTTGTTCTTTAATATTTGTACATGTTTTCTTAGTTTCATTTATGTCATTGTTTTTGTAATACTTTTTGTTTTGTAATTAACTTATTTTATGTTTTATTTTGTTTAATTTATGAAAATTATTTAACCTTGCAGAATTTACTAAAATTGTATGTATCAGCTTAAAATTGCAACTTTTATCTTAAATTAAAAAAGCATAAAACATATTTTTGCTTTTAGTTTTCTGTTATAAGTAGTATATGCGTCTCTTTAGGGCCACGAATGCGCATGCGCTGCGGCCATTTTGTTTTCTATAAATAGTAACTCATTTGCATAGAAGAAATGACCTTACTACACATGCACGGCGGCCGTGTTGAATAACAGACGTGTGGCGGCCATTTTGGATTCTTTTTTAAGAATGACATTATTACGTTATAAATAGAAATAATATCTCCCGGAAGTATACCTAGCTGACTTGTATACACGATCTTAGGGCCTGAATCGCGGACATTGAAGGTCAGGTCCTCGGCCCTAGACGGGGAGATAATCACCATTATTATAACTACAGATAACCTTTGTATAAATACGTGCTTAACTACACATATCAATTAATAAAATCATTGTTCGAATAAAAGTCTCTTTAAAAAATGCAAACGGCTTGATTATATTTTTAATTAGTAATAAAAAACTGACTAAATATTAATATATTATTTTTAATGTGTTTTTCTATAAACATTCCAAATAAAGAAAATACATAAGTAATAAGATATATAATTGAAAACCGACTGACTAATTGACTCTCTATAATACTATAAATAAGACAATTAATTTATTACTTTAAATTGTTTCTTATAAAATTCTTAACATATAACAAAATATGTGAAATTTTTTTCAATTTAATTCGATATTATGACTCTGTCAAATAATGTTTCTATATAAAATAATAATAAGGACATTTACTGTAAAATAATTCAATAAATATCTGCGTAAAAACTGACTTAATATTAATATATTTTTTTAATGTGTTTTTTCTATAAACATTCCAAATAAAAAAAAATACATTAGTAATAAGATATAATTGAAACCCGACTGACTAATTGACTCTCTATAAATACTATATAAATAAGACAATTATTACTTTAAATTTGTTTCTTTTATAAAAATTTAACATAATAACAAAATATATGAAATTTATTTTCAATTTAATTCGATATTATGACTGTCAAATAATGTTTCTATATAAAATAATAATAAGGACATTTACTGTAAAAAAATTTTTAATAAATATCTGCGTAAAATACATACATACGATGTTGACTCCTCGGCGGTCCGAATCCAAATGACACATCATCAGTGTATTATTTCTAAATGCTCTGATCACGAGTGTAAAGTCGCCACAATGTATGGCGTGTGTTAATTTTAGGGACGGAAACACTAACAATGGCCTATTGAAATGTTAAAGTTAATCCCTTTAAAGTAGCCACTTGGTCTGGCGTATGTTTATTTAGGGACGGATATGCGGACAATGCTCCATTCAACTGTCAGTGTTTACCCGTCTAAAGTATAAAGCGGGTAATTAATTATTTATTGAAGTGTCAGTTTACCACTGGGGCATAATTTTAAACTCCATTTTGGAAAAAGAAACGTTTTAAAAACTGATCATCACGAATGTGCAAAATTATAAAAAAAAAAAAACTATCATAACCGAACAAAAAATACAACAGAAAAAGCGTTTTTCGTCTTTTGTGCAACATTTTAACAATATACATTTTGATTTTTTTCGCATCAAAATGATAGACCTGACAGAATGCTTCAAAATAAACCCTAGGTTCTCGATTCGATTTTTTAACCGTTATCGAGTTATGGCCCATTAGTGGTTTTTAAACATTTTTTTAAAGTTCATAAAACCTTTAGATTTATATGCCGTTTGAAAGATCTCTGCCAGTAGATACAGAAAATGTATTATTATATAGATCTATACTCTTTTACTGTTTCTGAGATAGGAGAAGTTTCAATATGGCGAAGACAAAATCACTCATGCGGAAAAACGCGCATAAATTTTTCGTTTATGAACGAACATAGTCA